TGGCTTTTTGGGGTGTTCGCAGGCCGTTTCGGGTGAGGAATAGGAGGACCGCGGGGGAGATGAGGAAGATGTTGAGGAGAAGCGGTGCGGAGGAGTATGCAGTCGTTGCGAATAAGATGGCTAGTACATTGAGGATGAAGTCGGTCGCGAGCGCCGCAGGACCGTAGGGCGTGAAGAAGGATAGGCGAGACTGGAGCGCGGACCAAAGGAGGACAGAGGTCTAGAGTGGTCACAGGTCAGAATGTATCAATTGCGAGATAAAGTCTTGAGGTTTCTCACTGAAGCAACGAGTGTCACTGCATTGATCTCGAGGATTGTGCTTCCCGCAAGATTAGACACAAAGGCCTCCTTGCGAGCTTTGTAGCTCGGATCCATATTGGGCAGTTATCAATATAGATAGCTGATCGCCCTGAAATGTTCCAAGTTAAAGAATGACGTGTTGGAATGGTAGAGTGTTGAAGCTCTAAATGTGTGTTTACCTGTGATCACCTGACCATTTTAGTATTCCCAAGAACAACTGTCAAGATCAATAATGACACTGTGTCAATTAAGTCGGAATCTTGTGGACTCAAAGCAATGGTGAGTACCGTGGCTAGCTTCCAGTTTGGCCTTTACGACTTTACATCAAGATGTGACAACTGTTCGCAAGTAATTTTGGGTTCGATTAAGGAATTTTGTGTAGCAGGTCGTTAGTCTCTAGTGTCTATGGATAATAACATTTTAGCACGCTGTGCTCGACATCAATATGCAAAAAAGATCATGATCTCGGCTTTCCACGTCCGCCGCCACCACCACGACGTGCGCCACGGCCTCCGCGCCCTCCTCCGCGCTTCTCAACACCGCCTCGGTCTCCTTGACCAGCTCCAGGGCTGAGTGCATCGCGACTCTTGCCACCTCGGGAAGAGTTGCGAGGTCTAGAGGATCCGCCTCGGCCCAGCTCATTGGGGTCTGCATATGTGAAACCCGGAACGCCCTTCAAGCCCATCTTGCCAATGACCTTTCTGTCCATTGGGGGAGGCTCGGGACATCCCATGCCCTTGACAGCCATCTCGTTGGCGAGTTGAACAAGGCCGGCCTTGTCGAGACGAAGCTGCCTCAGAAGACCGGACCCAGCGAAGAAACCAATGAAAGACGAGTAAGCACGTTGCTTCGACTCTTCGTCGATGGTGTACATGGCCTCCAGGACAGCCTTGGAGCATGAAGCAGCGCCGGCATTGATCGCTTCGGAGTCGGGATGGGGCTTGATGGGCAACTGGCGGTTGTTCTTGATGAAGAACGACTCGCCCTCCGTGAGGAGAATGATAGCGCGACCGTCAGCGCCAGCACGGGCGGTACGACCGACGCGGTGAACGTACTGCTCGCCGTTCGATGGCAAACCGACCTGGATGACCAAGTCGACGTTGGGGAAATCCATACCACGACCAATAACATCTGAAGCGAAAAGGATTCCGGATTCGGCTTCCTTGAACTGATTGGTGGTTCTTGTGCGAGCACCCTGGTTGAGTCTGGAGTGGATCTCGAACACCTTCAAATGAACCATGCCCTTGCAGAAGACTCCTGCGAGGAGAGCAACCATGTGTGCAGTCACACCGAAGACGATGATTTTTGAGCTAGTCTTGATTTCATGCTTGAGCAGGGAGGCAAGTGTAGTGAAGGTATCTGCCACAGACGGCATCAGCACGTAGTACTGGGGAACTCTCTCATGGGTTGGTGCTTCGTTCTTATCAATGGTGGAAATGCTGGTGTAGTCTCTCTTCAACACAATATTGACCACATCCTTGACTTTGGGTGGGACAGTGGCTGAGAAGCACATGCCTTGCCACCCAGTGCTCTTTTGTGGGATCAGTTGGAGGATGCGCTTCACATCAGCGATAAAGCCACTCTCAAGCATCGTGTCGGCTTCATCCAAGACCAATGTCTGGATGTTAGACAGCTTCTTAGCGGTGGGAGTTTGAGAAAGGTAGTCGCACAGGCGTCCCGGGGTGGCGACAAGAATGGAAGGTGCGCCCTTCATGAAGCGCGAATGAGCGGATGCTCGGGCTGTTCCACCGACTGCAACATGGCACTCAAGAGGAGTGGGAAGTTGCGAGGTTAGTTCATCACACGCCTTGGCAATTTGTTGGGCAAGTTCTCGGGTTGGGGTAATGATCAAGATGCCGACTTTGCCTTTGGGTGGCGCGGTATCACCTTGAAGCAGGCAGTGCAATGCAGGCAACAAGAAAGCAAGGGTTTTTCCAGTTCCGGTTTTGGCTTGGACAAGACAGTCACTGCGCCAACTTGGCAGCTCGTTCAAAACACGCTGCTGGACAGGGGTCATATTGGTGAAGCCCATCACCTCAAGGGCTTTGAGGAGCCTGGCATCCAGCTTCCCAGCCATAGTTGAGTACAGCTGAGTATCTTTGAGTTGAAGACCTTCCATGATGGTCGAGGCTTATATTTCTTCAAGAAACTGCAGTTAATTGCTTTGATGAAAATTCAAACTCGAAGTGGCGAGTGAATGAATGTTAATGTTTGTTGACAAAACAAGACAAAGAGAAGGTGTGAGTGAGTGTAATCTTTCTTCCTAGTTTGTTCTAGTTTAGCAAAAGTTTAGACTGATGCTTGATGATGTGAATCATTACAAGTTTACATTTGACAAAGAAGAGATTTGTTGCCAAGCATTTAAGATTGTCCTAAAGTCTGGTATGCGTCATGTGATTGGCCATAAAAGACCCACTATCTTCGCTTGATATCACGTGAATTGTGGGACAGTTCCTGGGAAGTCAGACTAACCGCATATGGTAATTCGCCTGCTCAGAGTCTTTTTTCATGCGAAAATATATCAGGGGTCCAAATACTTGGCCAAAATTAGATGGATGTTATGGCTATACCTTTAGTAGTTATCCCTGCTGAGAATTCCTTCTCGTGGCCATATTTCCGGAGGCTTTGAACCGGCGGGGGAAACTTCTAGAAGTTCTAGGGCGTAGGTTAGTGTGATCATTTACGTTGAAAATATGCAGCGATTTACAGAGGAGAATGATCTGGAAGAAACGCAAAGCAGCATGTCAGAACTCAGATTTTCAAGGAATCCCTGCAAGATGCTTCGAGGCCATATCCTATTGATATGATTGGCCCAATAGTCCTAGTCGATCACCCAATATGGGGCGAAGACCGATACATAGTAGCACCTACGTAGGTACTTCTGGTGGGCCATTCTATTGTTGTAAGCAATCTCCGATGATGTCCCTAACAGGGTTGTCAGCTTCGCTAAGGACATCTCAGCCAAATTATAACATTTTCCTCACTTTATGGCAGTCACCTTCCTTGCCACCCGTCATGAACACGAATCATTCCTCATCCAATCAAATACTTTGTGCGCGTTTTTATTCTCACCGACTAGAACATATTCGGGACGGTTGGCCAATATCGTAAATTCAAGAGTGGCTACTCGGTTAGGGCTCACGGCGAATAACGCCGACATCAGATCCATATGATCGACCGGAGGTCACGGACCGTGTCTTAAACCAGTGCAAACGTCCGCATACACGCCGCTTAAAATCGTAAGGTCTACTGTGTAGCATTTTCATGACCGTGCCCAATTCCCCACTTACATACCTCCACATCATGGCGATCATGTACAACGTATGCTGGACATGTCGGTGTCGCTTGTATACGTTTCAGTCAATTATTAAACGTCGGTAAGCATGAGTTATGCTCTGGCAGATTTCGAGTGAGCAAGGCGCAGCATCTATGGGGGAGTGATTCTAACTATGTCTCCGGAATAGTCTAATTATGTCTCCAGAATAGGTAAAATCCCCTATATGGTCAATAAGATCCTTAGACGCATCAAACATCAAAATGCAGAGGTCATCCGGTTTCTCAATTCCCGTCAGAGCGGACACGGTGGTGCTCGAATAATAAAATTGCAATCCCCCGCTAAAATTCTTAGGGTGAACATAAGACCACGATAATAGGAGTGTCAAAACCTTGCGGCTATTGCGGACAAATGCCTTTCAAACAATCAGTCTGACAACATCAGATGCCCTTCTTCTAGAGATATTAGTCTGCTTATACCGTGCAAATAATTCCCCGGAGCCCGTGGATACCTGGACATTCTCGGGGACCATCGGGGGCCAAAGGATTCTCGTCCGCCTTTTACTCCGTACATATCTCCACAAGACGCTATCTCCACAAAGACGCGGATCATCACCGATGGTCTGTGGATGCCTTATGGCGCAAGCCGTCTTTTTAGTACTTTTTCTGTGCGCCCCGGCTTGACGGAACAACACTCAACTTGAATCGCTCAGCCAGCACACAGAACGGAAAAGGAGTACACGGTACGGAGTACGGAGCACCCCATAAATGCCCATCATTATGGTGCACGGCTTGGCGCCAACAGAAGACCCTTGAGTAAGTGGGAGCAGGAGTCGAAAAAAGCGGACCTCGCGATGGGGGCGGCTCACCGTAGTGGCTGGAAAGAAAACACTATATTCATGACCCGTACGGAGTACTCCGTAGCTATCCACACAGTTCGATCTCTCCACGCTTATTGGGTGCTTAGGGGTCGGCTTAGAGTCTCGCTTTCGCCGCATCATCGGGGAGATTTGCCTGGCTTGTTAAGCAATCTGGAGAAAATGAGGTGCCGTGTTGAAGAGGGGAACAATATTCAGGTCTTATTCAGCCACTCGGTTGCTGGGAAGGTTATAATCACGTCCTGAAAGGATCCATGGCTATACCACGCACATCATCTTTATTTTCCTCCCCACACCGTATAGTCGTCCAAACCAATCTAGCCCTGAATTGGCACGATCTGTCACGCTCTGCCTTGATCCCTGCTCCGCTCGGAAATAGTCTCGAGCCACCCACACGCCATCTTTCAAAACCAGTGATCCACCACTTCCCCTCATGTTAGGCTGCAGTGCTGGGTCCATGGTCGCCAGCGGGGGGTTCTCTTTGAAAGGTTCTGGGCAACGGAGGGGAGCTTTATATCGAGTCTCGGGTGTGCGAGGAAACCAATAATCATGAGCTCTCAAGATGAACCACCTGCGAGGAGACGTGAATCTCGATCGGGGTCAAGGAAAGTCTCGACATTGTCCGCGGAACAACTAGAGCGAAAGCGTGCCAACGATCGAGAGGCTCAACGGTCCATTCGCCAACGCACCAAGGAGCATATAGAACATCTTGAGTCACAAATTGAGGAGATGCGGCTCCGAACCGAGCGGTTCGATGAAGTCATGCAACACAATGCTTTTCTGGAGAATGAAGTCATCCGATTGAAGCATCAAGTTGCTGCTTTGACTGGCCGACCGGAGTTTGCCTCCAGTAACGAGCCGATGGCTTCGTTTCGAAGTGAGTGGTCTTTGGGAGAACCCCCGAATAGTGCAATATCGGGTATTCCAGCAGGGGCATTGCCACCGCCACACTTCACTGCAACATCCCACACCCAGCCATCGGGCCTGTTAGTACCGCGTCGAGCGTCTCCTCGGCATGACTGGCAGCAACCATATCCGCCCACAAGGTCGCCGTCGCTCGGCGCAGCCTCCAATCCCGAATTCCCGAATCGTATGGAGCCATATCCCATAGATAGTCGAATTCACCAAGGACAACCCATCTGCCCACCCCAGCAACAATCCGAATCCTCTTTCTCCGAATTCACTTACAGCGATCGGTCACTTTCCATGTCGAGTGCCAGTCCCGTTCCTCAGCCAACTTCCGCCCAAGCCTACCAACCCTCCACATCAGCGTACCCACAACCAATGCCTCAATCGCAACAGACGGATCCGACATATGAGTTTCCATGGGTGCCTCCATCGTGAATAACACATGTGGAATAACGCATGTGCCAGCAACCGGGGCTGTTCAAGGACATTGATTCGGTGGAAACATAATGCCTTGCGAGTTCAGGCGATCTGGTCTCCTGTCATGTGAGTTTCGTTCAAGAACCTCGATACGAAGATGCATACTGATCATTGCTATAGATCTCAAAGCAATACTTCATAGTCGTTGCGGAAATTGCGATTGGAATTGTCTTTCATGCATAAATAATAACGACAAAAATGATAACAGAAATAATCGCCCTGTCGAATGAAGTAAGCTGCCCGAGCACGGTCCATCTACAATATGCGACTCGATGAGCGGTGGTCAGCAGACGCCAGAAGATGATTGCTAGGATTGGATATACAAACAAGGCTGGGCACATTCGCATGGCCTCAGTCTGCTCTTTACTCTTGTACACAGTTTGACATTCATATCTCGGAGTGAATTCGAAATGGTCACAGGGATGACCCATGATGGCTCTTCATGTTTTGTGTATACCCCAAAGGGAACAATGAATACATACCCAAAAACAATCAATACGCCACATCCTGCATGGAATCAAACTATATACAAACAAAGCCATTTGGCGTAGGTAATCACCCCCATCACACGTCTAGTTGGTGTACTTCTTCTGCAGAATCTTGGCAATGGTCTGGAGCTGGATGTTGCTGGTACCCTCGTAGATAGCGCCGATCTTGCTGTCACGGTACATCTTCTCAGCAATGCCCTCACGGACGAAGCCCATACCACCCATCCACTCAACAGCAGAGCTGGACACGCGGCCGGCAACCTGGGAAGCGAAGAGCTTAGCCATAGCGGCGTCCTGGACGAAGTCCTGGCCGGCCTCCTTCTTGCGGGCGGCGTTGTAGACGAGAGCGCGGGCAGCGGCAATCTCGGTGTAGGCCTGCGCAATCTGGTGCTGCATACCCTGGAAGTTTCCGATGAGGTCGCCGAATTGGCGACGGTCGTTCCAGACGTATCTTTGGTTTGGTCAGCTTATCGGATCCATATGCGGGTGTGGATTGAACAAGAAAGCTTACCGTACGGCGTTCTCCCATGCACCGAGGGCCAGACCGGTCATCTGAGCGGCGATACCAATACGGCCCTCGTTCAAGGTGCTGATGGCGTACTTGTATCCCTGTCCTTCCTTGCCGAGCAGGTTGCTCTTGGGGATGACACAGTCGTCGAAGTTGAGCACACAGGTGCTGCTAGCGCGGATTCCGAGCTTCTTCTCCTTCTTGGCGATGGAGAAACCGGGGGTATCCTTCTCGACAATGAAAGCAGTGATACCGCGGTAGCCCTTGCTGGGGTCAATGTTGGCAAAGACGATGAAGATACCAGCCTCCATAGAGTTGGTGATCCACATCTTAGAGCCGTTGATCTTATAACCATCGGCGGTCTTCTCGGCCTTGGTCTGGAGCGCGAAGGCGTCGGAACCAGACGCGGGCTCGGAAAGACAGAACGAACCAACAGTGCCGGAAGTCAGCTTGGGCAACCAGGTACGGTGAGACTGGGCATCTCCGTGCGTCAAGATGGCGGTGTTGACGAGTGTGTTGTGGACATCGACCAGCACACTGACACTGGGGTCGACGCGTGCCAACTCCTCGATCGCGACGATAGCAGCGGTGAAGTTCATGCCAGCGCCACCGAACTCCTCGGGCACCTCAATGCCCATCAGGCCCTGCTCGAAGAGCTGCTCGACGACCTTGGGATCCATGTGCTCGGCTTCGTCCATGTCCCGTACCTTGGGGCCAATTTGCTCCGCGGCGAACTTCGATACCGAGTCGGCCATCAGAGACTCCGTCTCAGACAAATGGGTGATGGGTGTCGGGGTCAGCTCGGAGATGTCGACCTCCCGCCGGCGGGGGTGGTGGAGAATGCATACGCGCTATAATGGGGGTAAACTGGTTAGCGAATTTGTTTTTAATAGCATTGGTGTGCTCATGGGCAAAACGGTACCTCTGCACGGGCCGGCCAGCAGCGAGGCGCTTGCCCGCCAGGCGGACTGTAGGGGCACGCGACAAAGGTCGCAAAGAACGAATAATAGAAGCCATTGTGATATAAGTGTAGAATAAGCTCAAGGTGCTATGAGGAAGAAAAGGAAGGGAAAAGAGTAACCTCGGGAGGAAGATAAAGGTCATATGTAAATCACGGGGTCGCTTTGAGCCGAGGTCGGTTATCGGCGGCGTTGGGGCTCCGCGGGGATGTGGGGCTGGTTTTACCGCTGGGCTTTTTTACCTAGGTTGACCGGAACGACGGGAACAGTACGGCCATTTAGGGCAATATGACACTTGTACTTGCGTTAATCTTTATTCTATATGTCATTGTCAATCTCATTGACCCGATTATTACATTAGATTATCTACAATACAAAATCGAAGTACAAAAGTAGCATCAGCTGCTATCAACAGGTCAACTGCAATTCAAGGAGCTTGACGCAGATCATATTCGGGCGGATCAGGTTCGGGCTTATCAGTGGAGCAACCTGGATCTCTGTGGCTCTCACTCTTGGACCTTGATTTTAGGACAGAAGCAGCAAAATCCACTGACCTCTTGTAGCAGAACTGTAACATGATTAGTTCGCCTATTGGTACCTAGCGCCTCGGATTGGACTTTGGAATCGTCAGGCAAAGCTGGTTTGCTCATGAGCTGTTCAATGATGGAGGGGCTCCGATTCGCCCCGATCAGCATATCCCAGTGGGGTGCGGCTCAAAGCGTACTAGTCAAAGCGATCGGAGTAGAAGGCGCCTGCTCGGCACAGATGCCGACAGCGGGAAAGAGCTCAAGATCGGCCCGAAACATTGGCGGCCGATCCGAGAAGGAGCCGACTCCTGCTTGGAGCTTGAATAAGGGCGTGGAATCATTGGATGAGGAGGATAAAGGGATATATTTCCCAATCCGGAAATCACCTAGCCATTGTGTTGTAGGAACGGAGGATTTCAGTTCGTCTTCTGTCAAGATCCATTTCCATCAAGGGCACCACATGTAGCGTGTTTGCTACTTGTCAAGAAAGTAAAGTACATAAAAGAGCAAGGAACCCTAATGGTGGGTAGTCGTTAGTTAACTAGATGTGCTTTGTAATCTAACCTGTCAGCCCTGGAGCATACAATGGCGATTCCGCATTCGAGGTTGGCGAAGAACACTATTAGGGGCGTGTCAAGGATCAAAATATGACATTGAAAGAGCTAGTATTACGGTGGACAACTCGCAAACAGGAAGATATATAGTGTTGAGACAAGTATCTACCTTGATACCTGGTTTGTCAGACTTCCACTAGATCAATATTTGGGATTGCGAGTGTGAAAATAATAAGGACATGGAATACCGAGGCCAGTACAGAAGCAAAAACGGTCAAAAGGCCCCAGAGGAATGCCATCCCCGCCTTACATATATGGTACATCCGTTTTCATTCATCTCACCTAGCTCAGGTTCTCGGAGAGAAGAAATCGGACAAAACAACAGAGGAACGCTGTCGACACCACAACCCCTCACGCCGCCTAGGGGAGGGGCTTGCCGCCTTCCTTCAAACCATGGGCAGCGGTGAGGGCAACGCTGGCCACTGGATTTGCTGGCGAAGCGGTCTTTCCCCTTGTCGAAGAGCCGGCCGACAAGCGAGGGGCTCGAGGGCCCGCCTAGGCCGGGGCCAGCGGGGTTGGTATTGGCTTCAACATGTTCCAAAATTAGCGTTTACTACCAGTGAATAGGGGCAATGATGAGGCATATGAATCACAACTTACCTGGCTGTCCCGCCGGCATGGGCCACAGTCTTAGCAGTAGTATCCTCGGCCGCGGGGGCCGGATTTAGGTTTTAGATGCTATGCCGCGAGATGTCAGCTAATGCACGAAAAGCCCCCAGTCGTGTTTCGAGAATCGAGAGCTTCTATTTAGGATCCTCACTAGGTTATCGATAGCGGAGGGAGGGGTGGGCGAGGGAGCCACAGAGGCGATATGCAAGAAAGTAGTGGTGATCGTGATCGTGGCAGTAATGTACTCTATAACAAGAATGTTAATGAGAGGAAAAACATCGAGTGCTCGGGGGAAACACGATGTACTCTCGACTTAATAGGTTCGTGCCTGCCGAATTTGTAGTTTCCCATTCCACGAGCATAGCTTAGTCTCTATCTCCCTCTGCAGCTTCCTCTTCCGTGAAGACTAATTTCTGGTCTCATGGTTTGATCTGGCTGGATCTGAATCATACCCAGAGCCCAACAAAGTCAGTACCAGGCTGAAAGTGTAGTGAGGTATCGGAGGGGTGGGATATCCTTAATTAAGCATCAGATTCAGCAATTTTCTTTCTTATTTTTTAGAGATCAATGATCTTGAAGTGAGAATGTAGTGATCAAACAGATTAAAGATACCTGAGATTGTAATGGCGATCTAACTACGTTGTACCTGAAAAGGGGAAAACAACTAGTGTAGATTCGGCTAAGATCTGATGGACAAGAGGGAGAGAGAGAGAGGAAGAGGGAGCGGAACTATCTAGTGATCTGGACTCACATGGGTGACCGCCTTCCGGTCACCCAACAGATTGTAATGACTGAACCGTGGATATATGAAACCCATGTTCACGAAGCACGACACGAGCTAGCGAAAATCAGGATGGTGTCACTGCTGTGTCTTATGACATAAATCCTCACTCCTATCCACTTGGTCACACTGACATAAAAGACATATGGTCTCTCTTTAAGCGATATAGATCTCGACCCTAGGGTACTGCGTAGACTAAAAATGACAGTTTGAGTCTCAGGAGAATACTAAATAAACGAAGCTTTGAAATAAGAGATGGAAGAAGGAGAATAAGCAGAAGAGCTAGAGAAACCCCAGGTGAAGCTTCTCAGAGGGCAACGACTTTGTCTTGCGAATATCATTATTCGGGTTCCTCACGGCGGCGTTTGCGAGTGGACAAAGTAGAGAGATTGCTGGCAGTTGTGGCCAATGATTTGCGGATCTCATCGACACACTTTAGATCGGACTTAATTTGCTCTTCTGTTTGAGTAAAAATATAATTGATTGAATTTTGAAGGTACCGGGATACTTCGTTCCATTATGCGTGTGTGATGCACACTGTATTTGACGCATTCCTTGTGTGATCTCTAGAATATACAGGCCACTCCAAGGGTTTTGAAATCCCTTGCAGCATAATGGACGCCGGCGGCGTTCTTTGCAAAGGCGAGTTGTTGCATTAAAGGAGATAATACTGTAAGCTGCGCAGCCGCACGGGATCGAATGACAGGATCATCGCTGTTCATATCAGCGAGCATATCCGAAAAGCGGTTAAGTGGCTCGATCATATCAGGATCAATCGTAGGGACGAGTCTTCGCCGCTTGTTCGACTGGAAAGCCTGACTTGGCGCTTGGCCTGACACCGACGACTGCATGGTTAGCTCTGATAGCTGAAGTTACTGAATGCTTGGTAACTGGTGACCTCGATAAAGCCTTTCCCTTTCTTTCACTTCACTCGCAGATGACATGACTTGCTGTTCAGCTTTCCGTGTTGGAATTCTCTTTGTATACCTGCAGAGATGCTTCTTCTGATTTCTGGAGGATGGGATCTGGTGGCTTTGTAGCATGGAGCTATATAGAGAGATTCATGGCAGTAGCTAGATCACCATCTTCCATCCATCTTCATATCATCGCTTTCTGGTTGATCACTTCTCTCTTGTATGCGCCTACATCAGTATTGAATGACTTGAGCAAGGGAATAAAATAAAGAAGGGGATTGTTACAGGGACCCCCCATAATCGCTAATTCGACCCCTTTTGGGTAGAGAACGTCTATGGACACATTCATTTTACTTGCGACACACTCCGCGCTAAACTACTTCGGGTATGTCTCCCGCTGGCCGCAGTTTTTGATCAGCTTGTATCATTTACTATGGTATCCCTATAGTAATTTGAATAGCCATTAAATGATTTATGATATTACCATGACGCCGTCTAAGTACATTTCTGTATTCTTCGTCTCGCTTCATTAATTGCGGAGCAAAGCGAAGCAATTACATCATAACCTCGTGTGTGTGTATGTCACGTGACCAGGGGGTTTTATCCTACGGGCTCCAAAATCATGAGAAAGAATGCGGTGAAAAGTCAACGGCTAACTTTGGCAGAAAAACCCAACCGGCAGAAAAAATAGACTAGAGAATGAACCATCATTATCTTCCCCAGAGCTTCTACAGTCACACTTTACGTAGCATTAGAAGTTAGAATCAGTCGTTTCCATAGATGCGGAGACATATTGCATGTGTGGAGGCTGCGAAGGAAGCTGTATTGATTCGAAACTTTATCAATGACCTCTGCATCCCCGGGATTCATATCAATGCAGTTCCTCTCTACGTTGACAGTTCTGCCTTGAAGCTTACCAGAAACTCATAATTCCAACGGAAGTCCAAGTATATTGATGTCAAGCACCACTTCATGATGTGAATAGGTGAGGAAGGAATGCCTAGTGCGTCAATACGAGATGATATGAGGCTGTTGCAGATCAGGAACAAAGCCGCAGCGTCTGAAATAATTCCTGACCCAATTATTAATCTTCCTCTGAGTTAGAACAGGTGCTATTTCAACAGCACAAGCCATCATTTCAGCGGGCAAGGCAGCCTCACGTGAGTATCAGACAAAAGTGCTGGAGGTGATAAATAACGTGATCGAGTTTATGGAGTCGTAAGGCCCTTGGTTATCGCGCAATTTCGCAAATTTACTTAGGACAGAAAGATATATTCAAGATGAACAACATAGATTATCCAAAGTACTAGAACAGGTGTAAACAACAGTATCTTATTGGATGAATCGGCGTATTTATTCAACCGATTTATGTAAAGCGTAGAAATTGTATGAAATGAGGGTCTATGAGGGGCGAGGATCCGGACCCTGAACCCTGGCAATGATGTCTACTATCAACTCATACGCGTGCGCCAACTAAAATCTAGGGGCAGATATCCACTATAAGTTGGCCTGAATGGTCTGAGATACCATGGGGCAAGAATAATCTTTCTGATCAAGAATGGCCATAGGAACCGGTTCCAGATCTAGCAGGGCTTCTTCAATCAACGCCAGGGCATCCGATGCACAGCCGAAGGAGAGACTCCATCCCGCACCGCCTTGGCCATATGAGTGCACAATGCGGCTAGGCTTGCGGCCCAGTTTGCGCAGTTCACGCTCCACACGCACATTCTTTGCCCGGAAGGGTCGCAGTCCCTGGGCCAATGGGTAGTCAGGGTCCAAGCGAGCATCCTTGAGACCGGGGAGGAAGGACTCGCAGCGCGCTCGCATGCGCTTAATGATGGGCGAGTCCAGTGTCAGATCCAGATCCCATTCGTGGGACTCGGCAATGCCGCCGATCAATAGGATGTTGTCGTTGCGAGGCACCAGGAAGACGATCTCATGCTCAGAGTGGGCGGCATCAGCGGAGATGGTGAGGGCGGCCTCCGCCTTGGGGAAGTCCGAGCCATCGTTGATGACTCGAATTAGTCCGCCGCGGATAGGATAGCAGGAGGTATCGCCGGCGAGCTCGGCACCAGCTAGCCCCGTAGCGTTCAAAATCACGTCTGCTTGAAAGCGTCGACGAAGCCGTTCCTCATGGTCGAGGATGTCCCCCTGCAGTGTCTCCGTTACGAGCGTGGCACCTTTGGCCTGGACCAGATCCATGAGCCAAGCCATGCATTGGTCGGTGTCGATAATCGGTGCCAAGTGCTCATAACCATCGACGGCGCCGTATTGCGGATCGATGTGGCGCTTCTCTATTAGGCGGATAGAGCGGAGGAACCCCCGAACGCCGCTAGCCATGATCTCCTCCATCTTGGCCAACTGCGCCGGGTCCTCCTCAATAGGATTGGGGAAGAAAAAGTCGGCTGGCTTCATGGACACACCCGAAACAGCGGCGATAGCGGGGATGGCGGCCATCTGGTCCCAGTTATGGTAGGCGACCATACACCAGCGCTTAGAGTTGGCCAGCGAGATGGCGTCGGTGTGCTGCCCACACACGGCCGGAGGAAATTCCCACAGCGCGCCGGCGATCTGCGAGGTCAGCCGTTGCTCGTGGCCGTACGATGCCCACTCCTTAGAGAGGATCGTCACATGGTACCCCTTGTCAAGCAGCGCCCATGAAGTTATCAAGCCCGTCACACCTCCTCCAATCACGAGGACCCGAGGAGACGAGAGGCTTGCTGCCTGTAGTCGTGCGTGATAGGGAGTCATGTCTTTCCACATAACCAGAGGGGATGGGATGCCCTTAGGCAGATGCGGGAGGGATTGAGCCATGGTATGCTACCGTTCTTTTCTAAGTCTAGCCTTAGGGACTGATGTAGTGATGAGGGACAGAGAGTCTTAAGAAAGATGGAGAAATCATGCGAATAAGTAAGTGACTACTCTCTTGAAAAGTCTAGCTCGACTTAGCAAAGAAACATCGATACAACGCAAAACGTCAAGCTTATTTACATAGGTAAGTTACCCTTCAAATAACATTGATACATCTATAGATACGCTAGCACCCAGACAAAGGAAAAATATACTTGAGGAAATATTTGGCCTTGATACTGGCCGGTGAACTAGAATACGAGAGTGAATATTTGTGGAAATTAGACATACCACTTCAAGACGATTGTTTGAACCCAAAAATACGGACTACATACATGCTCGAGAAGACCCGATTGGAAATATCCCTGGATATGCGCGATGTAACCGTACTTGCTCTTCCTCCATCCTTGCGATGAGTTTATACCTGCATCTTTCGGAGTAAACGAGCCCCACCTCACGTAGGGGACAGTGCTCCGGAATAAAATCGGAGGCCGGCGGAATTAATCTCACATCCTTAAATATCTTACGAGAGGCTGAATCTGCCAAGGTGGTCCGCATCTGCTAAGCTACTAGCCCGAGCCTCTTCGAGTCGGATTCTCCGCCTACCATCCCGAAGAAGACCGGCATCTGCAAGCTGAGGTGGCATGTGATCACGCCTCGGGGGAGAACTACAGTATTTGGCGGGTCCGTCCGTTGCTTGCCCGTGTTGCCAGGGTAGTATTTGCAAATCAGCATTATTATGTGGCTTATGTTCTTGGTTAATACTACAGTATGGCATTAGTTGATGTAGCCTACGGTCATTATGGGGCTCCCGCTTACTATCATGGCGAGTCGATGGCTTCTACCGAAAATAGGAGCGATGGGCACTACTGCGGCTACGAGCAAAAGGTCAGGTACCGAAAGCCCTGTTAGGTACTGAAATTCAGCCAATGCTATAGCGTAGTGTCTGGCCCACAGCAAAAATTCACCCATCATAGATAGTATACGAAAGGTCCCCACAGAGTTTCGCAAGGGACTCGAATAGTGCCGTTCATGTCATCCCCAAATGACGATTAGTATTTAAGGAAGCAGATTTCCTACCATTCCAGGACTAGAATTTAAAATCCAAACCTTTTCAATGTCTCAAAAGATGCTCTCTACAGAGGAGAAGCTGAACCTCATTACTAGGAGGCAATCCTTCCTCGAACCTGCGGACGCAGAATCTCTGCAAGGGCTCCTGGAAGAAAAGCCTAAGCTCAAGTTGGCCTGGGAAACCACACCTACAGGCAAGCGTATGTGTCCTTTTGGCTGACAGGAGAATGATGCTGGCACTAACCTTTGTCGTATAGCTCATGTTGGATACTTCGTGCCAATTGCGAAGCTGCTTGACTTCCTCAGGGCTGGCCTTGATGTCCGTATAACCCATCTATAGCCCAAGCCGACCTGCGTACTGACGCATGCTTAGGTGACTGTGTACTATCTTGACGTCTACGGGTTTCTTGTTAACTACATCCATTCCATGGAGACTGTGGCATATCGACAACAGTATTACCACTTCCTGGTCACCGCTATCCTGAAGGCACTTGGCGTATCACCGTCTCAAGTGAACTTCGTGGCCGAGTCCAGCCTTGCCTATGAAAAGGACTTTGTGATTGATGTCCAGAAGCTCTGCGCCATCATGACGCAAAAAGATGCGCGGGACACCTCAGCTGAAGTGGCAGAGACAGAACAAATAAGTCCCCTGCTCTGCTCCATCTACCAGTCACTCTCAGAGCCGTACCTGGATCTGGACATACAGTATGGCGGCGAGGATCAGGTTCGTAGGATGAAAACTACTCACTTAAGTTCCTGCTAACGGTTCTGGGGATCAGACGGGCCTCTTTGAGCACGCCAAGAAGTTCATCCCTATGCTCGGGTACCGCCGCCGGGAGCATCTGATGAATGCCATGGTAGCAGGGCTTGATGGTTTGAAGATGTCCTCTTCCAAGTCGGCGGAGACGAAGATTGAGTTTCTGGACGACCCCGAAACAGTCCGTGGCAAGATATTCGGCGCAGCGTGCCCCGAACGACAAGTCACGGGAAATGGAGTCCTAGGGCTGCTTCGAGATATTCTAATTCCCATCAGTGAGCAGCGCATGGAAAGATTACTAGGGAAGACAGGCCTGAACTTACACGAGAGCACCGGTTCCGAGCTGGACCAGCGCCCTTTCTGCAGACTAGGGTCGCCGATTGACACTGTTTTTACCACCTACGCTGAGCATGGAGAGGGGCAGGATTTCACCTCGTATGAGGCCATTGAAGCAGCATTCGTAGCAGGCCAGCTGCAACCAGAATCTTTGAAGAGGGCCGTGGCGGATGCGTTCAACGTTCTGCTGGCTCCTATCCGAGCCACGTATGCAGAGAGCGAAGAATGGCAGGAGTTGGATAAATTGGCCTATCCTGATGGGAACTGATCACATTGTAATGTTTAGAGAAGACTCTGTACTAGCTTTATCACTATTTACCCTTCTCAATGGCTTCCCGAGCGTATGACTCGTTCTGCGCATTTTGATTCTGTCGCCATTGAACCACGTACCCCGGAACCTCGGTCACTTTGTTTGTAATGCTTGGAATGGGTGTCCCAACAGACTCCCAGAGTGGAAGTGTCCCCGTCCACACTCTACCAGTAACCTCGTCGTTTTGAAGGTCTTTCCTGTCATCAGAAGGCCCACCCTGGTTGATTTTGGCGCTAGCGCTGGCGATGTGAACTCTGAGAACAGATGTACTCAGGTTCTCGGCACGCGTAGGAGGCACGCGGGAATTGTCCCAACACCCCGGCACCAGGCCGTCCGTGATGAGGTGAAGAGCCCATTCTTTCTCTGCTTCAGCCGTAACAACCGAGGCATAGCCGTGCAGCACAACACTGCGGTAGTTACAGCTGTTGTTAAAGGGCGTCAACGAGAGCTTGATACCATCGAGCAGGGTTGCTGCGATGCAGACTGGGATTCCCTCCGGTCCGTGGTTGCCGGCTAAGCGCATGACACGTGAGGCACTATGGCCATGAAGATATACATCGAGAGCCCCAGTCGATGGGCCATCAAATGAGCCCATATACCCAATCATGGGAAGGGTGGTTGGAAAGGGGTCATCACTCGGGTCCGTAGGCAGAAAGGACACGTGGAGGATGGGTGACGCGTTCACAATGGAATGAACCGTCTCGAAGTCGTACTTGGCTCGTTCGCGGTGGCGGCGTACCGTGTTGCGTGCCTGCAGGGGGTAGGATCCTTCCATACTGGGATGAACAACCTTGGAGGTTTGTAATCAGGGCGTTGTTGTAGATGGGTGAAAGAAAACAGCAAACCCACTGTTCAGACTGCTTTCGAGTAGGTCGCACGGAGGTACGCCACAACGAGAGGGGTGAAATTTTTATATATAGGTAAGAAGCAGTTGACATGGCGATGCTGTCGAGAATGAGTCACGGCATTTCGGCCGAAATCACCCTGCTTTCGTGAAATGGTACTATGAGGTGCTGGGCGAGGGCGAGTGGGACCGAGCGGGGCTGGGCCGAGCCGCCGGCGGAGGCCCGGTGGACTTATGATATCCGTGCCCTCGCACGTGCCCTGTAACTACTCCTTCCAACTTTAGATTCACCAACCTCCACAGGGATCTACAGTTCCTCCGCAAAAGTCTCCGTACGGAGATATATATTCGTACGGAAACTTTGCGGAGGAACTGTATTAGCGCCGTCGCCGCAATCGCCCCCACCTGCGGCGTACTCTACACTCTGCCTCCAAAAGTTCCCTCCCAAAAGGGAAATCTCTAAATAAAGTACCCTTGGTAGTATATGGCAACAATATGTAAAAGGCATATCGAGGCCTAGACTTCGTTTTTAACCTCACTCGACCACAGTACAAGATACGTTACATCAATCATTTGTTTTATTCCCTGTAAGAGGCTTTACAACATAATACAAAAAAAAAACATCGGTACGTATTATTAGGTAACCTTGGACTACATTCATTGGTTACATATGGTAAAAAGACATGGTTGGATTTCTCTATCTTTTAGTCATTTCTTTTAATCCCAGGAGAGCAAGCAGGCGACTTCAGGACACCTACACCATGGGTATTTTAAGTGTGCTTACTGATGCTATGCTGTAATCTAGTGGGAAAGAAAGACGGCGGAAAGAAGAAGACTAAATGGATCCTATATAAGCCTACGCCTCCAAGCTCTACTCTTTTAGTTCTTCCCTGTATAGGATATCCCGTCTTTGCCCTCCACGTCCTTTCAGCTCACAATATTAAGGACCTCTCCTTCCTATATCACCAGCCTATCAATTTCGAAATTCGTGTATTCTTAGAATCACAGACCCAAATACGGACATTCACGTTTGGAAATTTGAACTTGAAATTGCTCCTCTCAAGGTTACTCGGTCTACGGAGATGTTTCCGTACCTTATCTTTGTCGCCTTGGGCCTCTGTGGTGCCACTTTCTGGATTCTAGGTTTTTCAGCACGGCGACAACCTGCTAAGTCGGTGGGGTCAGCTAAAGATTTGAAGTTGCCTGGTATGTTACTTGCCACACACCCCTATACTGCATATGGATGTGAATAATTGTTAAGGAAATTGTTAGCATCAGCCGCTTCGGTTAATTCTTCAGAATACAGGCGACTGCTGTATATGAGAATGTACTTCAAGCTTCATAATCTGGAGGATTATCCGGAATTCCTCCCACTGGCAAGGGACACGTTGCTTTCTTTGTTGGCCGAGGGGGTATCCTGGGAGCGAAAAAGAGCTGATTCAATCATGTCCCTGAAAAGCTGTAGCCCAGCCTCCATACAAGCCTTTATTAAGAAGCAGGATGAGCAAGTCGCTGTACAATGGGAGCAATACATTGCCAGAAGGAAGTTGGGAGGAATGCGGGAGCTATTCCAGACCCGAGATGAATCTCATGACTGGATAAAGCAGAGGGCACCACTTAAGCTCGTCGATGGAGCTTGGGTTGGTCATATCCACCGCGTCAGCACGCCGTATGGGAAACGACATGTGACTAGAGACGCTTGGCAGGTCTTGTCAGAGGAGTATGGGGATGGGAACCTGGAAATGCACCATGTCCACCTGTACAGTCAGCTCCTTCGGGAGGCTGGAATTTCCCTTCCCCAACCAGACTCGGCCGATTTCATCCACCCTCGGCATGGCATGGTCAATAACCTAGCATGGAAAGCCGCCGTTTCACAACTTCTCATCTCCCTCTTCCCTCACGATTTTCTTCCTGAGATTCTCGGATATAATATGCACTTCGAGCTCCTTACGCTAGAGACCATGATGGCGGCCAAAGAGCTTGAGGAGCTGGGTATTAGTGGATATTACTTTTTCCTTCACATCAGCATCGATAACTCCCATTCAGGACACACTGCCATGGCGATGAACAGCGTCGCGAAATTCCTCGCACACGTCGAACTAACAGAGGGAGCCGGGGTGGCAGAAAGGGCCTGGAGGAGAGTCCAAGCCGGCTATTGCCTTTCAAGCGCGCTTTCTTGCCCTGAATTTGTCTCTCCAACAACCTCTAGCAACGAGTGGAACAATGAACTCGCTGAAGTGTTTAAAGCCAAGGCACAGGCGGCCGGGAATATTCACTGTCCCAGCCTTATCAAGCTTGATGGCCGGACACTCGGCCAGTGGCTGATCCCCGAGAATTTCTCTTCGATTCAGAGCCAAGAGAGGTTCGTCGCGGCTCTAGCTAGGACAAAACCATGGGTACGTCCGGGCGATAGTGCCAATAGCCGCTTGATACGAGAGCTGTCCTGGGGCGGCAAGATGTTTGGGTCCTTCACCTCTGCCGAAGTCGATCTTGTCAGGAGGTGGATTGACAACCTGTGCAACCCGAGCCCACAGGCTTACCTCAGGCTCTTCGACGACCTTCCCCCGCTTCCGCCTCCTACTAGGGGGGATATTCGCATACACTACCCCCTGTTTGTCCCGGGAAGCTTAGAAGGTCTCGACTTCATCCATGCGGCTGACTACGACTTGAAGATATCAAATCCTGACGCCAGGACTATCCTTCCCAAACTTCTTCCGTTTTGGTTCACACACCAGTGTGTCCTGGAAGGATTGGTGACAGTGCCTTCAAGAACAGCGAACCAGACGATATCGGCCGTCATCCGTGTCCTCAAAGCATACAACGGCTTTACTTCCGTTGACGCTGGCGTGGCCGGCATGGACGAGGCCAGAAGGACAGCAAAGGTGGGACTTATCGAGATAGGTCTACACATGGTGAAACAGGCCGGACTGCCACAGCCAATATCGCTTCAGCAGGTGCTCGACTTGTGGCCTTGTGAGTTCTCTGTGGCCTTGTTACACCTCTCCATGCGGCCGATCAAGAATAGATCTTTGCTGTTAGGACTCGCTTCGGCATTTTCAGCGCTCCATGGAGCCGTCCTAAGGTCTAAGCTCCTGCCGCTGATGGATCAGGAGTACTTGAGAAGCATCATCTGGACTGAGCGACTGGCTTTCAAGCTTTGCGCAGAGGACGAGAAGCTTACAGAGCAAAGATATGATGAATATCAACGGGGCCAAGAGTTGGGCACAAAGGCCGTGGCGGGATTGTGTCGAGCTATCAAATTGATTAAGTGATAAACTTGGTAGAAGGACGACAAGGGCCCGGTTATTTATTGCGTGAGTGAGAGACTAAAAATGGAGATGACCACTTGGAGTTGAAGCAGGTTACAAAATTCGTAGGGCGATGAACAACAATGTATTAAAGGAGGTTGAGATTAATCTGGGAGATACAAGTGATAATAGATGATAGGAGATGAGGATAGACGAATGAGACTTTAGGTTTCCAAAATACTTATCGCAAAATGTGAAAGAACCTCGGATAGAAAGTCTAAGAAGCATGTCTGTATGCAGTGGAAAAGCTTCGCCTCACATAATATAACTTTCTCGCAAGGAGTTCTTCGCTATTCTATATTTTTTTTTCCAAGATATGCACCACCATTACTAGTCTACCGCGTTAGAGACAAGCCATCCTCAAAAGACATGTGAGTGGTATTGAATGCCGGAGCCTCATGCGCAAGGGAGGCCTGACGATGCTCGGGGCTCGGTGGCAGCCTTTTCCTATTCAACTTCTGAAATCCGATGAAATTGTGCCTCTTGCACTCTGCAAGAGGAACCTGCGGATCGCCTCAGTGGAATGTGCCTTGAAAGCGCCGGAAAACATCGTAAGGAGTATGTGCGACTATGTTGGGCGAGAACTAGAGGTGTATAATATGGCCTATGGCGTATGCAGACATACGACAACGCAGATTGTGACATTTTTAACCAAAATCGCCATAAATCAATAGTACCTGTCTCTTCTATCATATTACAAAATTGGAGTTAGGCCCACATTGAACTCCGTGATAATGTCGTGGCTGTTCCCCTGCTGCCTGTCGGAATCCCCTCAATTGAGCTTTCTTTGCTCTTTTTCATCTCGCTACATCCGCTGGTATAAATTCATGCCACACTTAGAGTATCGCGCCATAATAAGCAGGAGACAACCTATCATCATGGAGGTTCCCCCGAAGAGCTGCGCAAATAGATACTGACCCCCGTGGAGATCGATGAGGGCTCCTGCGATCGGAGGCCCGGTCAAAGAGGCGACACTAACAATAGAGAAGATCATCCCGATACGGACTCCGGCCTTGCTCGGTTCGTCCGTCAAGCTCGCTAGCGCCGATGGGAAGAGACTCTGCACGCCGCCACCGAAGAAGCCGTAAATCACAACGAAGGCTGTGAGACCCCCGTAAGATTCAATAGCAGCCCAGCAGTATAGTAGGATGGCCGCTGTGGCGCTGACTGGAATAAATGTGTTGACGGGGCCGCAGTACCGGTCCGAAAGGTACGCTGGGATTAGACGGCCGGGCAAGCCTAGCCCGTTCATGATCATCAGGATGGAGAAGGAGGTGTAATCAGAGACGCCTATGATATCTCGGCTGAACGAGCGGACCTGGGCATATTGGTCAGTTACGATGAACCACAAAAGTGACAGGAAGGAAACACTAGATGGGGCTGAACTAACATAATAATAGGCATAGTAGACGGCCCAAAAGCAAAAAAACGTCCCCAACGCGAAGAAAGTGTAGGAAAGATCGGTGAACGCTTTGAACTCGATCAAAGGGCCCAACTTTCGCGGGGGCAGCCGCTGCCGCACACAGGCCAGGATAACCACTGCATTGAACAGGAGCACAAAGCCCATGACACGTATAGTCCAGGCGAAGCCGATGCGGTGCAGGAGGGTCTGCGCGATAGCGGGGAATACCAGGCCGCCGGTGGCCCCACCACATGCGGAGATAGAGATGGCTATGGTGCGCTTCCGCGTGAAATAGGTGGACATCAAAGCGACGATAGGGCAGAATAGCAGTCCGTCCCCGATGCCCTGACAGATACCCTGAGAGAGCAGTAGCTGCCAATAGCTAGTGGCCAGCGAGGTCATAAAGACGCCCAGCAACTGTAGGAACAGGCCTGCGCCCAGGGTGATGCGGAGATAGCCCGCATCCATGGCTCGGCCGGAGAAGGTTCCAAGGAAGTAGACGAAGAAGATCTGTAGCGAGCCGACCCAGGAAATATCCGAGGCATTGCGATTCAGAGAGGTGGTATAGTAGGACTGAAAGATGCCATAGGAAGTGATGTAACCCCAGACATTGAAAACAATCAGATGGCCACACAGGACTTGCAACCATGCCGTAAGCCCCCCGTCTGGAGCATCTCCGATCAAAGGTGTTTTTGGGGGAGACTCCTGGACATCTTCTTGGAAATCGACAGATCCCATGGCGCGAGGGATTTTGAACGCTGGGGAAGATGGTGGAATAGCTTCGAGTGAGAAAAGAGCAAATACCAAGGGGGAGCATGAAGTAAACGGAACAGAGGAAGAGTGGCCGGTCGATCCTCGATAAGTTACTAGCATTTCTGGTTTTATTTGGTGCCAGCCCGTACAAATGCCGAGAAACCATTGAGTCGGGACCTATACAACATACATACTAGTATGGGTGTCTCGCGCAAGACAAGATTAGTCAAATTACCGATTGGACTGGAGAGAAAAAAAAAACAGTATTGTAATGGCTCTGTATTTCCGGGCTTTGCGGCGCAATTAAGAGTCCATCGGGGCACCGCAGATCCTCTATAGTATTTTGTACAGTCAAACCCCGTAAACCCCGATCACTTTCGAAAAAGGGCTCCCCATATTTCTTTTCGATAAAGAGTGCCAAGGCTGCCTAATTAGGTATAGTTCCCCCGGGTCCACAAACTTCCCTTTCAAAAGTGGGCTTTAGGGCCTACCGTCCACGTGACTAATATAAGTCTATTGGTTCGCTTTATTTTCGGGATTATGCTGGTCCCTAAAATAAAATAACCATATAGTGCAAAAATGGCACGTTACACAGCCCAAAATGCCAAGGCCCTCACCACTTTGGAACCCCGTTTTCTCTCAGACAATTATATGATTTAAATGGGGTTTGACTGATTAGTGTAGGTTTGCAAGGTACCTACGTAATGGTGCTCGGATATCAATACATAGAATAACGATTGGCAGAGCGGGGCCGGGCCGGCTGCCGGCGGAGGCCCCGCGGAGGGCCGGAGGCCGCGCTTATTCGGTCTCTGCTCAGTCATCTCCCCGAGGGTTCCTGATTAGGCATGTGACATGTCCATATTGCTCGGCCAAGTTCCCTGTAAGATGGTTATTGTTCCTACAGTAATAAAATCCGCTAATGCAGCTAGTATCATATTACCATCTTTAGCTACTAAATAGTATATTTTGAATGTGCCTATGCTCCAATCTAGCATGAAATAAAATACAGGGAGAAGAAGAAGAAAATCACATAGATCCTGCACACTGCCTAATGAACCTGCGCCTCCCGAGTCTACTCTGTTACAATCTCCTCACTTGTTTAGTTCCCCTATACAGGGAAACCCTGTATCCCATTTTTGCCCTCAAACCTTGGCAATTCAACTTTCGCACGGCTATTGGGGTTCCCTGCCACGATGAAGAAGACCACTGGGAACGCTGGCGCGCAGCCTCAGCCTGCCAGTATTGATAACATGCACGGTGCCACCTTCATCATGGAGTCGTCGGCCGACAACAAACCGCTTGCCATTAGCGCCGGTACTTTCAATACTTCCAACGAGAAGCCCGAGCCAGAGATCGAATCGTTCCAAGAGCTAGAAGCAGGGCAGAAGCTTCATCTCCCGCTTATTCTTACCTTGGCTGGAGCAGCCTTTCTCAATGCAAGTCAGGTGCTAGGTCCGAAATCACATGCATTCTTGCTGACGATATAGCAGACACTCGCCGTCCAGTCAACAGTTATCATCCTTCCCAGTATCGGCCGAGACCTAGGTATACCTGCTGAGCGCCAACAGTGGATTATCTCGGCCTATTACCTTTCCTTTGGCTGCTTTCTGCTCCTTTTTGGTAGATTTGCAGACATCTTTGGACGTCGCTCCGTCTTCCTCATCGGGTCCGCTTGGCTCACCATCGTTACCATCCTGGTTCCGTTCGCACCGAACGAAATTGTCATGGACCTATTCCGAGGCCTACAAGGTCTGGGTGCAGCTGCCAACGTTCCGACTGCGATCGGGATCCTCGGTGCTACTTTCCAGCCCGGTAAGTATAAGAACTACGCATTTGCTATCTACTCGGCCGGGTCTTCCTGCGGATCGGTGCTAGGCAATATATTTAGCGGTGTGATCGCGCAGTACGTCAGCTGGAAATGGATATTCTGGGTATCCGCCATCCTCTGTGGAATTGTCACCGTGGCCGGTCAAATATTGATCCCACACTCAAAGGTTGAGGCTTCCTCTTTCTCCGACCTTCTGGTCAATGTTGATTGGGTAGGCGGCACATTGGTGACTGGAGCCATAATACTCCTTAACCTTGCTCTAACAGAAGGCAACGTTGTCGGATGGACGAAGTCCTGGGTTCTGTTATCGCTCCTGCTTTCCTTCGTTTTGTTACTCTTGTTCGCCTTGTGGATATGGTACCTTGAGAGGAAAACGGAGAGGCCGCCTCTCTTGAGGATTTCTATCTTCCGCAACAGCCGTTTCAATGCCGCACAGGTCATCATGGCCACACTGTTTGCGGCTTTCAATAACTACCTCGTCTACGCGACGTACTTGTAAGTGTCATACCTCCCTATCATGGCTTCCTCGAGGGACTGGAGATGGATAAGAGCTGACAGCTATGTCTTACCTAGCTACCAAGACTATATGGGACTCGGACCACTAGACACAGCTATTCGGTTCATACCGACAGGAATCATGGGCTTTGTGGGGAATATCATTGCCGCCAAACTCCTCTCCCGTGTCCCGGGTTACTACCTCCTAGTTTTCAGCTGCAGCTGCGTGGGCATTTCATGCCTCCTTATGGCCGTTCCCATACCACCGTCGACTACCTACTGGGCTTACAGCTTCCCAGCCATGTTGTTGTCTACATTAGGAGCCGACATTGTCCATCCGACACTCAATCTTTTCACATTGCAGTGCTTACCTCTAGAAGATCAGGCCCTCGGCGCGGCGCTGATTACTGCTGTGTTGCAGGTGGGCAGGGCCGTTGGAATCACGATTGCAACCGTGGTGCAAATATCGGTAGAAAGGAGGGCCATAAGCCACAGGGGAGTTGAGGGTGATTTATCTGCCTTACTCCAGGGACTTCACGCCAGCCAATGGTTCAATTTCTCGCTTGCCGTTGCCGCATTCACTGTAGCTCTGCTGTTCTTCAGGGGCAAGGAAAAGGTAGGCGCGATTTGACGGTAGGAGTCTTGAGCATCTATAACCAAGCGTCCGGTGATTGGGATATTGAGAGTAGAGCTTCAGCCAGGCCTCAAACAAGCACTTGAAATTCTCATAAGTAGCACATTGTTTGAACTTTGATCTCTCCACCTACTAATTATATAATAATTAAATAAAATTCCACAGCCTATATTGATACTGAAGAGGGAAATGCACGATGGGCAGCCTGGCCATGCAGGCAAGACGAGAACGACACAACAACACCAACCATCCAGGACGGTCAGCTAAGGACAGCTCCCCTCAGTGACGAGATATGCCCACTGTCTGACGGGATTAATAAAGGCACCAGTCGCGTATTCGCACCGTGCGGGTGTTCGGATCGCAGCCAAGCGGGCGGGCTCTGTCAGCCCCTGTAACTCCGGTCAGCTTATTAGCATGGAGAAGCACCAGTGTGTTTATAATAAATTCACATGACAGACTATAAATACTACGGAGTACGTAGAGCATATATGTATCTACAGGAATGTAACCCATAGGTCATAGGTTGGCAAAAGTAACGATAATTGTTGCTAAGTCCTACAAAACTATCTGTTCAACCTGGTGCCGAGCTGCTGGGCCAAATCGGTTAACAACTCGGTGGCCCTTGGCCCTATGCGGCCTTGGCGGTGTGGGAAGGGCGAAGAAAGTATGATAGAAAATACCGCTTCACAGCCCCGTCCCTGGGCTGCGTGACACGATGCAGCGGCGAGTGGAATTTCAAGTCTGATAAGCGTCGCAGGGAGTCGGCCACGGTGACGAGGGCGCACCCGGGCTTAGGGACCGCTGCAAAGTCCCATCGGTCCTGCTCGGGAAGGTAGACATGCAATCCCAGCTGCTCGTAGAACAGTAGGGTCAAGCTCCCGCTATCGGTGTGCTTATTCTCGACCACGTCAGTGGCCTTGTCAATTGAGGGCTCGTATATGAGCTTGAGGCCGGTATCGCTGCTGTCTGTAGTCTGATGGTACGCTTCAAACCGTCCGTCGCCCTCCAGACCCAAGGAATCAGAGAGTGATGAAAGTATACTCATGGCGGCGGCATGGCAGAGCTTGTTGAATTGCCGGACTCGATCGCTTTCATCCTGCAGAATAGACGGGAGTCTTAGGTCACCACGGAAGAGCTCGTCATCGGCAAACTTGTGAAGATAGTTAGCAGAGTCTCTGCCACAAGCAACGGATAGGGCTGATAAGTACCTCGAATGTCTCATCACAATCACTGCTCTTGTAACTTTGATAGAGTCGGTTCAGCTGATGCCAACAACGAGTTAGAAGAGTGTTTCTTACCCACGGTCGCTGGAAGCAGGTTGATCCTCACGGAAATCCTTCAATTTTTCTGTGAGGGGACGTTGAAAATAACGGTCCGATAGCGCATACAACTGCTGCGAGGCGTCGAGTATAGCTTCACTGCTCTGCTTGAAGTCCAAAAAAAACGCTCCAGGACGTGTAGCAGCATCGTAGAGTTTCTGCCTCTCCTGAGAGTCACCGGTCACAATGCGTGCTAAGTCGACTGTCACCAAGTGCGCCATGTTGAGGTTTGCACCAGCTTCATTGGGGACCTGGTGGATGGTTGTCATTGCGGTTCTTTCGGGGGAAATTTAGAAGGAATGGTGTATAGAAAAAATGGACAGAACGAATACTCGATCAAGATCAGTGAAGAGGAGAGTTAGATACATATGTATGTAGTACGGTAACATTCGGAATCAGATTTACTGTCGAGTTAAGGACTTAGTAAATTACTACTCTCACTCAGCGTCTCGCCAGGAGAATCTCGAAAGTACGGTGCCGTAACGCACTATATTCGTCTAGCATGGGTCTCGTGGTGCTGGGGCCCACAAAAGGACGGATTATAGCTCGGAGGCCGCGGCCTCTCATACCTACAACATACGCTGGTAAGCCGATAGACAGGGAAAGCCAACAAGTGGGGGAGGAAATCTGCTACCCTGCCATGCCAGGCCGGCCGAAAAAGAACGCTAATGCACATACGCCAAAGATAATATATCTGTACGGAGTACTCAGTAAATATTTGTACATTATGTGGTATTGGTATTATCAGCACCTCCAAATAGGCTAGGAGGTGCATGTGCATTAGCGTGAATCCTCGCCCGAGCTGGCATGGCAGGGTACATACAAAGGAAAAAAGGAGTGGCTTTCCCAAACAGGCATGCCTATGCGAGACATTGATCGAGGAGATAACCAAAGCATGTGTCTCATATAATAAATAGAACGAGTGCACTTGTGGTTCGACCTGATCGATACCACCATATTACTCTTTTTTTTGTTTTTTTTTTCACCACGTCGGATCCTAGTAAACTTACCAAATTAGAAACCTAACACATACAAGATGACTCGAGTCCGTGTGGGGGCTGTCCAGGCCGAGCCCGCCTGGCTGGACCTGGCCGCCGGTGTCGCAAAGACCGTTGCATTAATCCAGGAAGCTGGTGCGAAGGGCATCAATGTCCTGGGTTTCCCCGAGGTGTGGATTCCGGGCTATCTGTGGTAAGGGAATGATGCCACCGCAAGCGCACACTAGAGGTCATTAACTGACCTAGTCGCCCCATGCTCGATAGGACAATGTGGACGGGCAGCGTTGTGGACAACATGGAGCTTATGCACCAGTACATGGCCAATTCACTAAACCGTGATTCCCCCGAAATGGATACTATTCGTCAGGCCGTCAAGGAAGCGGGTATATTCATCGTGCTCGGCTACAGCGAACGCGAAGGGGGAGCTTATACATGGCGCAGTCGTTCATCAACCCCGGCGGCCAGATCGTGCACCATCGGCGTAAGATCAAGCCCACCCATGTGGAGCGGTCTATCTGGGGCGAGGGCCAGGCGGAGTCTCTCCAAACGGTGGTCGATTCCCCCTTTGGTCGCATTGGAGGCCTGAACTGCTGGGAACACCTCCAGCCGCTCCTACGGTTCTACGAGTACTCGCAGGGGGTGCAGATTCACGTCGCTAGCTGGCCGGCGGAGTTCCCGGAGCCCAAGGGGTTGAAATGGCCTTTCCATGAAACGGACGTGGCGAGTCGTAATGCCAGTCAATTCTTCGCCATTGAGGGCCAGGCCTTTGTGCTGGTTTGTACGCAGGTAGTCAAGAGAGAGAGTCTCCAAAAGCAGAACCTGGTTGAAGGAGGGATTATCCAAACGGTAATTCTCATTTTTCTCATCTGTGTTATTTTTGTTTTTTTCTTCTTCTTTTCTTTCCATCCGTGGTGATAGTTACTGATTTCTGTGAGCAGCCTAGTGGAGGGTTCTCTATGATATTCGGACCGGACGGAGCCTCTCTCGTGGAGGCACCCCCCGCTGGGGAGGAATGCATCCTGCAAGCTGATATCAACCTCGGAGATATTGACTACGCCAAGGCAATGATTGATACGGTTGGCCACTATTCCCGCCCAGACCTACTGTCGTTGAAAGTCAACACCGAGGCGGCGAAGTGCGTTTGGACAACTGGGGGCAACCCAAGTGTATAGCCGAACGAGTAAGTACTATTAAAATTCGTCATTTAAGCGCACATCAACGTGCTGACATCTCTTTCCTAATTTAGCTGCATACCTAGCCTTATACATGTTTCTTGAGCATATCTCTATGCGGTTTCATCACAAAGTTAACTTGTTGAGACCGTTGTTTGCCTCATATAGATAGTATCTTGCTTCCCCACCTGGACTTCCTTTCTCTCCCTCTCTTAGCTAGTGAATGCAACAGGTTTTCTTTCCCCCATTATAACTAATTAGTCAGCTGTCGGGTGTCTGTTGACTAAGGCACCAAGCGGGGAACACATTGTCTACTTAGTAGCTCTCTCCCTCTCCTCTCTTCCTCTCCTCTCCTCCTTCTCCCCTCCGTCCACTCTGATCCTGAAGAATCTGACACGCTGTTTCTCCATATCTACATCGTATTCAAACTCTAAGAATTGCCTCTCCTTTAGGACGACTGTTCAAAAACGATTCGAAGCTTAGGAGCCCCCTCAGGCAAGGCAAGAATTAATCGACTTCCAGCATAGGAAGAACACAGAGGCTAGAGCTGCCTTCTACACTTCGTGCTGGTTCTAGAGTTGAAACACTGCCGCTGAACTTCTTTGTGGATGATTACGACACGTACATTGATTCTATAAGTTGGTTGCATGATTCCATTCCCGGGGCTTTATGGACTTCAGCGGGGCTTTCTTTAATGCTAACCGAGGCTCAAAAAGGATTGGAACATATAATACGAATATATCACATATTCAAGATCTTGATAAATCAAACATGTAGTCTAGTGCAACCAATATCCACAGTCCACTAGTTGGGCCGAAGAAAGAACAACGCCAAACATCTCACGCAGCTTCAAAAGTGACATTAACCTGGCTTTCGACATCAATATCCTGAGGCGTGAGGTCCAGCGCCGGAGAGTCATCCCCAAAGAGAGTAGTACTATTGCAAGCACCAATAAGTTGTCTAGTCCTGTAGGGACTCGCTTGTTGGTCGGAAATTTCCACCACGGAAACAGAGCGTCCGAGCACTTCCGAGTAATCATCAGCTTGCTGGATAGCATCGCGCAGTGCCAATTTGCGTGCATCCGAAGCCAGTCGTCTGCCGGTTTCGTCGGTGAGACTCCAATCCAGGCTGTCGATCTCCACCTTGGGATAAACCAGCAATTCTTCGATCGCGTGGTTCAACTCTGCGAAGTCCCGGAAGACGGCTTTGAAGGATATACTGGCATGGTATGGATTTGGCAAGGGCTGGTCGTGTCTACCTGTTGACTTTGTCCAGGTTCTGATGTTCGTGGATGAGAATTTTGTCATAGGGGCATCGGGCTCATTGTCGGCAGAGGAGGGAAAGGCTGATTTGATCCAGGTTTGTAGGTTGCTCGATAAACTTGACACTTCCTTGGCGACTTTGTCTTGCTCGGAGCCATTTCCCTTTACTGAGAATCTGAGGGTGGCAAGTTCTGGGGCATGGGTGACGGATGATTTGCCCGTGACTATGATTTTTAGGGGAGGCATGATGATTTGTGAAGACTTGGGTTGTGAGGACTTTGAGGATATCTTGCAGTTGATAAATATTTATAGGAAGCTGAAATCTATCAGCCCTGCAGGCAGCAATCTCCGCTCAGCCTCACGCCAAGCCCACAGCCCCTACCGGTACAACCTATAATCTCCTACTTTATTTATAGCGAGGCTGACTTTCATCAAAGATGCATTTACCGACAGCCTACGAAGGGCCAGCGTTCAAAACCCGCTTTGGGGGCTTAGTGATGCCTGAATGCCTTAATTAGCACCATTTTCTAACTAACTAACTAACTACAACATAACTAGTGCAGTGGGGGTTTGCAGAGCAGGATGACTAAGCGGCTATGTGACATAAAAGCACTCCCGAGGCATAGATAGCAACGCAGACACCTTTCCACTTCCATTCTCAGTAGTCACCCCATGGTGTTCTCCTCTCTAGCACCCTACTACTCCCAGTGACGACTCTGCTCTCACACCTGTTTCGCAGACAGGGCTGTCGGTGCCCCTTAGGGGTCCCCTCTTCACTAGTTACACCTAACTATATAACTTCAGTAATAAAATGTAATCTTAACATTATTGCATACCGTTTTAGTTATAAGCTATCAGTCTCAGTCCCCTCATAGAGATTTTGTAATGCTCTATGTTGATACATGCTCAATCGCAGATTTCTAGCTCCTAAAATATTACGGATGGCGGCCATCGATTGCATACAGGGACGGAGGGATTCGTTTGGCCCTGGGGTTGTTTGGAAGAGACAACTAAAGAAATAAAGTAGAAACTTGCGATAACAATGTCTTCTGTGAATCATAATTTCCATTATAGTTCCAGGTAATTCAGATCAGATATTCTCATTACCCCGCGCGTATCGCTGAAGTCGTATACTTTGAGGCTTCATGCACCATGTCTGCCTCCTTGTTTCATCATTTCAAACTATGATTGGTCTTCTTGACGATTCGACATTTCCATAAGTTTCCATGGATTTCTGCATGGCTGGAATCAGGGCCAAAACTTTACAACTGTTTCCAGCTGTTTCCAACGGATTTCAACAACCTTCAAGCATTTTTCACTTGTTCTAGAGAGATCTCGCCTCTTTCTGATTACATCTAAGCTTGGTCCCACATACAGTATATACTCCAGTGATAATCATTTTCATTATCTCTTAATGAACGAAGAGCAGATAGATGCCTTCGCAAAGTCTAACTGCAGACGAGGCCGTGGCGAAGCTCTTGAAGTTCTCAAAGTTAACGCATCACCGTACCTATCTGAAAGACTCTGAACAAAAGCGAGTTGACGATGCTTTTCAGCTCCTAACAAATGGACGACCTTCAACGGATGCGAAAGGTGCTAAGCAAAGAACAACATATCTGGAGACTCAACGGAACATAAGGAAGAAGCACGGCGACACAGGGGTTGTTCTTTGTGCGGCTGGATTGGGACCTTTTGCCATTGCGAACATGAGAGATGAGGAGCGCGTATATTTGCCTTCTAAGCTGTCCGAAAAATGGAATGAATTGGAGCTCGACGTCTTTGAGAAGCTAGCTGACGGAGTGACTCGAGGTAAACGATCTTTGCTCCTTCTCTGTGACTAAGGCTGACCAAGGAAAGACGCTACCCTTACCTCTGTTCATGGTGATGTTTATGAGGTCTCCATGGACGATCTGAAAAAAATCGCGGCGATGCCAGGCCAAATCACCGGCATAATGCGCCTAACCGACCCCTACAACAGATATCAATCGTCCTTCGTCACAATCCCAATATCTAGGGAGTTGACAGATTCCTTAATCATAAATCGTCAAAGAGTTATCGAGTGATTTATATCATGTCCTCTCCTAAACGATAACATATCCCACTTCAATCGATCCAGATCCCCTCAAAAACCAGCTTTTATCCCACGGGACAAGCACCAAATGGCCAGCAAATTCAGTTCCTACCATATCAATGTATGATCCGTCATCGTCGGTGATGTGGATGGCACCTTGGCTTTCTATGACATCAACAATAACGGCGATGGCTTTCGGAGGAGGCTTCATTCGGGTTGCTTTCGGAAGGGCAGTCCATTCTATATTTTCACAATCGTCACGGTTTAGCTGCAAATAATTAGCATTATCCAGTCTCCAACTCTAGAGTACATACATTTCGGTTCACTACCCCTGTAAGATTTCCTCGTGGAATAGGATCAAGCTTGTACTTGCGCACCTGGTCGATCATGGCTGAAGTGGCACGTTAGCTCGGGGCCAATTATGAGCAATAATGGAATTCCTCCAGTAACAGTTGGGTTTTCTAAAGAGAAACTGACTTTGAATGATAAGATTGATTATACTGAAGTACACAACCGCGGCGAAAAGTTCGCCTCGTGTTATTTTAGTTCGCAAGATGTAGGACCTTGTAACCAGCTTTTGTATATCCTGGTTTTTTCTCCTCTTGTGATGTGTCGGTTGGTTGATGAGAAGCAATGGGCTGTGTGTCGTCGTATGGTCTGAGGCAGGAACAATCAAGTCTTCAAAATCACAAATAGTCGGGTCAATCGGGTATCAATGCATAGCATCTGTCAAATGATGAAAAGGCATTTCGCATCGTAATCTCAAGAATTGAAGGGTAAAAGATGGTAGTAACTGTTTCCTCTCACGAAGAGGGGCACAAAATGGTGGGGCGAGGATAGCGGAAATACTTTTCTCCCCCCAGGCTGGCACTGCTACGAATTGGATATGGAAAACAATTCCAACCAAGACCAACCAAGTCTACGCAGTCAAATGTTAGGACTTAATGTTGAATATTTTGGTATGTTGGAGTAGATGCGGTTTATCCAATCTTAGAGGCCATACGACTCGGCGTAGAAAAAGGAGAGAAGCAGAAGGATGTTGATTCACCAATATACGGGGCAATGGATAACTGAAGAACTCTCGAGAACAGTTTTATGAGAACTAGAGTCCCTTGGAGCACTGATAAGGCGTTCCTCTCAGAGAAGTGGACGGACAGTGTTAGACTTAGAATCATTCTACTTTCCTATATGTTACTGTAGTCCGGATAAAGAGAATAAAACTAGATGGAAAGATTTGGAGATTCCTGGAATGGGTTGAATTCAACTGGAAAAGTCTGTAATTCGGTTTTCTATCGTAGTCTTAGTCATAGCCAATAATGTACATGATCAGATCTTTAGCTCGTCGAATACCGAAAGGTAATTGGAGGAGGCGTATCAGAGGCTATATCCGGTCTAGATGACGAGAGAGATGCATAGTCAACACTTTACATGACACTAGGGAGATAGCCAATATGATCATGCGGGGGAGAAGACAATACATCGCGGACATGGTCGTGATTCATTCATCAAGCTAGATAATGGTGTTGACCATAAGCTGCACTGACCCCTCAGCTCGAGGGAGACTTTGCGAGATGAATATATAAAGGCATCATAATTCCGATGTCAACATGAGAATCACAAAGCTTTTGCTCAACTATCGCTCTACTATTACTCAATTATCCTCTGGCCACTGGCTCTACACTTTAACTTCTATTGCCTTTCGGTCAAGAACAACTTACGGTCTGAATATCATCATGGCTTGCGGATGCGAACGACGTATTGCCCGCAGAAAGTATCAAAACTGTACTGCTACCCCAAAGCATGAAAAAGAAGAGATTGCAATGGTCCAGTGCCCCCAGCCCGGTGGTAGCAACTGCACGGGATACAAGGATGTATACTTGGCAACCTCGGTTGTCAGGGTTCCGGGCCATATATGCCCAAAGTGTTAGAGAAGTCGTTGATATGTACGTATGCTAAACAGATCAAAATTCGAAGTGCCTGAATGACTGACGGTTCTTAGATGAAAGGAAGGCCATGGCCGGACGTGATCATGTCCACGAACTGTGAAGATTTTTTGGGATGGACTTCGTTCGGCTGGTGGTGTGAGGATTAGGTACTGCGCGTGGACTATAGCTGAGGTAAATTGTTTTGTACTGAGTCCAATATGTATGGTGCTGTCAACTGCGTAATTCATCTCGCCATCGGTGAATGCAGTTTACCACTTTAGCTATCCCAATGTATTTAATGCCTCGTCAATTCCCCTAATATGTAGTTTCATCTAATGTGTAGCGAATACGTAGAGGCTACTACTGTTTCCTTCTTTCTATACCCTTTTAACTGTCCACGCATAGATGTACTACTACAGTATTTAGTTTGTTTTGTGATCATATCACTAGAAGAGAATCGACCCCGATTCGACCCCGATTGTTTATCTAGTTAACTATTATAGGAGAAAAACCATTATTAAGAAGCTAATACACCTTGAAATCTAGTTACTCGATCAAGCCAACTTTCTGCTGGCAATACCAGCCAATCATTTCGATTGTCCGGTGCACCATCCCCCGCCCGAGCAACATCACGCGCCTTAACTGTTCATTGTAGGGTTTCTTTCAACTCGCAATTCTATCACCCCAAATACTGAGCTTACCAAACCTTTTCCATATAACATTTTTCTTCCCTCGACTCGCCATGTTGGACGACGCAGAAGTTGTTATATACAGGCATTACTGCCCCCCAGGGGTGAGGAAGGTCATCGCCTCGGGGAGCAGTGCGTTCATTGGAGAAGTGGATGATTTGACGGTCATGAAATATCCTCTCGCCCCTGGCGGAGACATGAGTCGTCTCGAAATCGAGAAAAAGCTTTTCGAAATTGTCGGGTCCCATGAACGCATAATAGGATTCAGGGGCTTCTCCGATAAGGGGCTCTACCTCGAGCGAGCTGTAAACGGAACCTTAGGCTACTATCTCCTCGAATCAGACAACGCCCCCCCTTCGATCCAGCAGCAGTTATCCTGGTGTCGAGAGGCTACCGAGGCAGTTGCATGGATCCATGCTCAGGGCGTCATTCACTGTGATATCCAGCCTGGAAATATTCTCCTCGATGAGGATCTTCATATCAAGCTGTCGGATTTCCAAGGGAAACAACTATCGAGCGATGGAACAGTACTGCTTGATGGCGGAAGCGGGGAGCCCGTCAGATTCTACTGCCCTCGGGCCGATCCTTTTGATGCGGATGTCAAAACAGATCTCTTTGCGCTGGGTTGTACTATCTACTTGATCATGATGGGGTACTCGGTCTTTCCTGACATTGTCGATGGGGAAGATGGGTGGTATGAGCAGGTCCGAGAGAGGTTTGAAAAGCAGCAGTTCCCACAGGATTCGCATGCGTGCAGTGCTATTACTTCGAAGTGCTGGTTGAAGGAATACGAATCCGCGGAGGAACTGCTCCGAGATATTGAGATCGTCGAGAAGGGTCTTAGAACTGGTCCGGCTACATAACTTGATTGATGGCTGTCATCCCTTTAGATATTTATTTTTCCTCTCACCTAGTTTTGCCAACCCTTCATATCATCTTTCTCTTCTCTTACATGTTGCTGACTGCTTTGCCTTGCGTGTACCCGATCTCTATGGACTTTCCAGAATTTCGTCCAGAAGTTCTCCTAGTAGTCCGTAATGGCAAATATCACACGGGTACCATGAAAGGCTGTTTCAAGACTCGCCAGATCTCAGATATCCGCCTACACTATCTCGAACCCCTTTACGGCGAGGGCCTTCGCCTTGTCACTCTCGGTATCATGGATCAGGCTACGGGTATTCCATCCTCCGGCTTTCAGAAATGACGATACAACTGATCCCCCTTGCCCGCCTGTCGCTCTGACTATTACAATGAGCTTTTATGTCATGGTGGAATTTTGGGTTGTGAAGCGTTATATGTTACGTTACGGGGATTCTGAATATGTTAAATCTCCGGCTATTCTAATCTCCTATTGTTTCAGGTTATGCTTAATTATTGATTTCCACGGGTTCTTACCGAAAGCCGGGTGGCGAGCGCCTCATGTTCTTTCGGCCATGATTTCGCCACTGGCTTTGCGCCGCTAGATGGAAGTCGGCAGTCGGTATCGGCTTTGCCACAGTGAGCTCGGTCCGAGTTCGGGTTTCTTTCCACGCTAAGAGTAGAAACCCTTACCCTCCACATCTCTCTTACCCATAGGAAGACGACTGTTGTTTCCAAGATCGGCGGACCTGGTGGCTTCTGATTCTCAGGCAAGGTATCAATTCTTGCAACGATCCATACAGATAGAGCACTATGCAGTCGATTATTACGCAGGCTCCTTCGCTACAAAAACGAAAATATTCTAATATTTCTTCCATTTAGATACATATTAGTCCGATATTAGTACATAGCTTCCTCCATCAAATAACATAATATTGTACATGGTATTGAAACACGATCACTCTTTCTCACGAGGCCGGTAGACTACTCGCTCAGCAAGCAAGCGAGGTGTGTTGATGTCATGACTAGGCAAGATAACGACATCAGTCTCTTTAGCAAACTGCTTGATAGTCTTCAGCGTTTGATAAGCACGCATAGGGTCGTCATTTATCCCATCGGGCTGCTCCTTGTCCAAAAGGTCCAAGCCATATGTTGCGTCTCCAGGGAGGAAGTATGTGACCCGACTCTGTCCATCTTCCCCGTCGCCGTAAATCACCAGACTAATATGCCCAGGAACATGACCCGACGTATCGACGATGGCAATTCTACCATCTTCTGTCACAGGATAAGACTGCTTCCATGGTCCAAGTGGTCTGTCCTGCAGGTCCACAATCTTCGGCGAGAACCCTTTTGGCCAATGATTGGGTGTGGCTCCCTCCATGCTTGCAAAGAGAGGATGTTCCCCGAAAGCATTCCAGTGCTCACGGCTGATGTAGATAGGCAGGTCAGGTGCCTCCGCAACCAGATCCTCTAATCCACCCGCGTGGTCGTTGTGCAGGTGGGTCAGAATCACGGCTTTGAGGTCAGTCGCCTTGATTCCGAGCTTGTGAAGTTGCTCAAGGACTCCGTCTTGGTGTTCGATGATGAACACGCTTAGGAAGCCGTTCAAGATAGCCAGTCGTGGGAGATATCCGGCGTCGTTGCAGCATGGAGATTGCCCGGTGTCCATGAGGAAGAGACCTTCGGGGTGGCGAATGAGGAATACCCCGACTGGCAATGGCTCAGTCCATGTTCTGTCGCAAATTGCTCGGAGGCGTCGAAGAATCGGAATCTTGCTCAATGGTTGCGAGCGCATTGAGGGTCTAATGCGTACCGTTCCCGTTGTGAGGAACGTCAGCTGTACGCCTCCGGTGGTGTTCTGATTGGATGCCATAGTGTAGTTGTTCTTTGCTAATGAGTGAGCTGGAGGAATTATTTGAGATGAGAATCTTATGTTCAATTTATATAAAAGTCCTAGAAGAAATATGCGACACAAAATGGCCGAAGCGGCAAACCCGAGAGCCGTAACTTTGCCGAGACACCAAATATCGAGTTCATCCGTCGGGGGAATTAATTGACCGTGTTTCTTTGATGGGCGCAATCCCTAACCTTTACACTGATTCTATAGAATAGTGGGAATTTATCAGTTGCCTACTAAATTCGTATACCAGCGATAACTTCTTGAATGCTTCACCAATGTACAAATGAAGAATAGATACACTAGAATCTAACTCTACAGTCTAGCGACGTAATAAGGCTAGTACTATGAACTTTCTATTAGAGCCAGTATTCACAGCAGTATTTAGAAGCTCATAGGACCGTCAAACAAAAAGGAAGACCAATCCATCGGCCAATCATTGCTATCTTCAGGCAGAGTGAGAAGCGCGTCCGGTGGTTGGTTTTCGCTAGCTTCCGCAGTTCTTAGAATCCTAAGCATAGGGCAAAACCTCGAGGGGAAAGGGAATAGCTGAGCCAGTTGAATTTGCCCAGACACCGGAAGAGCACCGCACGTGTTATCGGCTTGAGCGGGAACCGAATCTGCGCGCATATTGTTGAGACCGTTGATTTTGTTGAGTACAAAAGTAGCGGAGGTATGCTTCTCTCTCATAATTTCCAGCACCTGTTTGCTGATTCTGAGTTCCTCATCGCGGTCAGGGTTCAATACATCGCTGTCTCCGAAAGCTCGTGGGATTCCGGCGACGAGGTTAGCCCAAGTATGCATTGCCAGTAGGTATTGAACATCCTCGTGATAGAGAATCTCCTCATACAGCCGAGAAACACAAGATGAAGCAGCCATTGAAGCGTATTTGAACAACGACGGGTTGTCCCGGCGGCCAAGGAAGCATGTCAAAATGACAGTCACCAGGTAAAATATATGGAGCTCAGCAACAGCGCGATTGTATGGTTGTCTAGTTTCGACGTCGAACAATTGGATTTCGAGGGGCAACTGTTCTCTCCACACTCTCAGGCCATCCAGGTTCAGATACACCTGCTCTGATGAGGCCTTATCGACTCTGGCCAGGTCCACAACCTTCCTGAGTTTTGTACAGAGAACTGTTAACTGGCAGAAAACGCGTGATACGAGATCGACATGTTTGAAGTCACTCGGAACAGGCAGTGGCACAGAGGTTTCCAGGGGAAACATTCCAGGACGCCCACAGCAGGCCGTCTGCAATGTATCGTTGATAAAGAGATACCACCACATCCTGCGCGCTCTTCCTGGATCCTCTAATCTGCTGTACGTCTCATTCTCGTGTAAGTGCAATTGAATCGCGAGTCGGATTGCCATACCAGCCCATTGCCACGGGTTGTCTAGCACTATCGCATCAGGGGAATATGGAAACCAGGTGCTGAGGATGCAAAGAGCGCTGAGCATATTCAATGGAGCTGGATCGTGGTTCAGAAAGAGCAATGTTCTGATCCGCCCGTAGATGGCAAACGTGGTCCACTCGGCTGGCCCTGCTGTTTGACGCATGGTACTTCCCGCGAAACACAGGCATTGCTGTAACAAAGTAGAGGTTTCTATCTCGGATTGCCCACGATCCAAAACCGGGACGAAGTAGAACAGCTCACGGAAATAGAAATCGGTAAGCGCTTGGGCGATGATGGGGGATGGAAGACGACAAGCTTGGCTTATGTCTAGGATGAGCTGACTGCCATCGATGGAATTCGGCTGTTGCGAGCCGTTGACATCCCCAGGTCCCACACATGTTATATCCCGGCGGCCAAGATGACGAAAGGGAGATGGTGCTTCCTGTACTGTGCTTTCCTGTGTCACAGGGACTGCTCGGCTTGGCGACGGGATACTTGTATGTGACGAATAGAGCGAAGCGTGGAGGGCTCTCCTTCGCTTTCCAATGTGAGGTCTATAACGTCAGCTTATAGACCTCGGGAAATATGTATCATTACGCAGTCTTACTGACACGTATAGCCTATACGCTCGCAACGGCTACATTTACCACTGCGCCGGCCTTCTAGGTCGCAACGGATCTTCATCGCTATCAGTCTTGGTAGGAGCTATTCATGAATTAACAACATACCTTGCTACTGTGGCATCGGGTGCATACAGCATTTGCCCTAGGTTGCATATTTAACGATTTCGATAGTGCGTCGGCCAACAGGTGATTGTGCATGGTGGGATGTTTTGCCGAGTACACGGCAATTGCCGCCCACAGCCGAGTATGATGTCATAACACAGTACATACAACAGTCAATAGCAATTGACAACTCTCGCTCCGAAAAATTATATGTTTATCAAGAGATAATAGGACGAAGATGGTAGTCCTCGTAAATCGGATTTTGGACTGTACTATCCTCTCCTCTGTTATTGCATATAGCCCTAATATCGAGATCTCGGTGCTCGGCATATCGGTATAATGTACGGAGTACTTAACCGAATTACTCCAACATCTACTCCATAGTTAAGCTGAATTGATGCACTCTCTATAATCCGGCACGTCACAGAATTTAACTTAGTCTTCGTTCTCGGACACTGTCCGGTTGGGTGCACGAACTTCCCTATGATGTTCTGAGGGTGCCACCAGTATCCGAGCTATTCCTCGGATATTTTGCACCAGACACGCAGCATTGAATGATCTAATGCCCACTAGAGGCTTCATGGCACACCTCATGCCAACCTTGGAACTCAACCATCATATGAAAATCATCAAAATGATACGAAGTAATACGAAGTAATACAGTGTCATTGTTCTTCAAGCGACTCATGTGATCCTAGCAGTTGTTCCAGCAGTAAAGATGAAGAAAGGATATTACAGCATAGGAAACAGGACGAATAAGAAACAACATAATGGAGGATCAGCAACCATATTTCTCCATGATGGCCCTGAATGATGGATCCTGTAAAAGCTGCGTTGCACTCGGACGTTTCTCTGGACAGTATTGGAACACTTTGGACATGATAGAGGCCACATGGGCTCGCTCGATCGGATCAGCATCAGGACGAAAGTATGCAATTCTTGAGGCAAGATCAAGATCCGGATTAGGCGTTCGAGATTGGTCATACCAATAATCGAGTCCTCCAGGGTAAAGGCCCTTCCACTTTTCAGGTAGTGGACCTAAACTCCTAACGAATCCACTTATCACCCCCCCCTTAAGCCAGGCAGGGAAAGGCGCATAGCCAAGGTATATCACAGCAAATACAATCATATAACTCCATATATCGCAGGCCAGACTTGGACCTTCCCCATGAAGACGTTCAGGGGAGCAATATTGCGAAGGGGGATAGCCTCGTTGAGTCACGCTATCAGTAAGCTTTTTCGCTAGACCAAAGTCACCAAGAAAGAATTCCTCCGTGCGTAAATTCTCAGGGACCTTAACTGGCCAAACAAGCTCCCCCTTCTTGCAAAGGTCGACATATGGTATGGTTAGCTTCAGTGGCCGACCGAGTGCCTCGTATTTCGCAGTCCTATTGAGATTATGGAGAGGACGCATCCCCCACATACAGTTTCTCTCATTTATATCTATAAAATCTTCATTAGAATAGAAAAAGCATGTGGTAGGCCGACTTACCACGGTGCACAATTCCTGCTTTGTGTAGACTTTCCAAGGCTTCTAACAATTGGCGAGCAGCAGACATGCGACTGGCCATAGGGGTTTTTCCCATTTCAATAGGGACAATGCATGGACCCATTAAAGGAAATACTAGAACCCTATGACCGCTTCCAGGGATGAGAAAAGTCCCTAGATACATCACTAGGTGGGAGGTATCATGCACGTTTTGAAGAATTTCGTTCTGCATGCGGTATTCGTTCTCCCCCCAGTCCCCTAAAGACATGACTTTAAGGGCCACGTCCCTCTTATCATAGAGGTCATAAGCCATCTAGACAGTAGAGCCGCCGCCAAAACCGAGTTTGTGCTCGACCAGATATCTCTCATTCAGGACTTCTCCGAGATAAATGGGGTAAAAAACATTCGGTGTTTCCTTTATATCGTACTTATGCCAGGGCTCTGAGATTGCTTCGAGATCAAGCTCGTCGTTTTCGGTGCTCACAAAGTCGCCGAAGTCTGAATCTGATATATCATCAGGGAGTGATGGAACAATCATCTGGGCGGGAATTCAATGCTGGAAGGGGTACTGATCTTGAATGTATTCAGGGGGTAAGAATTGAGGAGGTTGGCGTTGGTTCCTACACAGACCGCCCTTGTTGGATGTGCATAGCGGCCATTCCTTGACTTAATTCTCATTGGCTTATACCATGCACCTTACCGTGAGTACGGAGTACTGTGTATGTCGTAGGATGGATAGGTAGATATCCGTAATGATCTCGTAGGCAGGCACAACATCCTTTTTTTGGAAGGTTCGACAATATCAAGCTCTCAAACCGCATATATTCATTATAGGATATACCCACCAAACCTCGGAAATACTCCGAAATAGGGCGATACCCCTCATAAACCCGTGGGGCCCCGCATTTCGCAACACATCCGTCCCCGCGTCTATAAAAGAACCTCAACAGGACAACCCACCCCCAAACCAGCTTCTAAAACAAACACAATCCCACATCAAACCCACCCAATCCAAATCCAAAATGCCCAACCAATCCAACCAACCCCACCAAACCCACAACATCAACCCCCCAACCCTCCAAACCTTCATCAAACAAATCCTCATCGCAAACAACACCTCCCCACCGCACGCCGAAATAGTCTCCAAATGCCTCCTATCCGCCGATCTTCGCGGCGTAGACACACACGGCAGCAACCGCATCCCATCCTACATAGAACGAATCCGGCAGAAAGCCCTAGACCCAACCGCAACACCAACAATCCAGCAAATAACACCAGCAGCAGCACAAGTCGACGCACACAACGGCTTCGGCTTCGTCGCCGCGCACGAAGGAATGAAACTCGCCATCTCAATGGCGCAGACCTTCGGCATCGGAATGGTCTCCGTCAAGCACTCGAACCACTTTGGCATGTCGGCGTGGCTGGTGCAGCAAGCGCTGGACGCGGACATGATGTCGCTTGTGTTTACGAATAGCTCGCCTGCGCTGCCGGTGTGGGGTGGGCGGGAGAAGCTGATGGGTGTGTCGCCGATTGCGTGTGGGGCGCCGGCGGGGCAGGGCAGCAGACCGTTTATACTAGATATGGCGCCTTCGGTTGCGGCGCGGGGGAAGGTTTATAAGGCGTTGCGGCGGGGGGAGAGGATTCCGACGGATTGGGCGCTGGATAAGGATGGGGCTAGGACGGATGATCCGGCGGAGGCTTTGGGGGGTGTTATGTTGCCGATGGGGGGGGCCGAAGGGGTCGGCGCTGGCGGTTATGATGGATGTTTTCTCCGGGGTGTTTTCTGGGTCGGCTTTTGCGGGACATGTTACTAACCCGTATGACCCGTCGAGGCCGGCTGATGTGGGGCATTTTTTGGTGGCTGTTAAGCCGGATTTGTTTATGACTATTGAGAAGTTTAAGGGGAGGATGGATTATCTTTATCGGCGGGTTGTTGGGTCGGAGAGGATGGATGGTGTGGATCGGATTTACTTCCCTGGGGAGATTGAGATGATTACTGAGGAGAAACGGTTGGCGGAGGGTATTCCTTTTACTACGGCTGAGATTGAGAGCTTGAATAGGGAGGCTGATCTGGTGAAGGTTGAGCGGTTGAAAGTATCTACCCTGGAATAGGTATTCTGATGTTAATCATGTTACACTACATCAACTACAAGCAGCTTAAGGGAGATATAGAGTCTTCCGCTTGATAATGAGGTATATTGGAGCTTCCCAAGTAACAATGTACTGACCACATTTGTTGTAGTCAAGTAATAGAGTATGAGAATAGCAATAGAATAGGAAGGCCTGAATAACTCTCCAGAAACATCCACCTTAAAGGACAAAGCCACACATTAAGGTACATAGACATAGACAGAAGAATGGAAATAATGTCACAATTGAATTATCGTGGACAGAGCCTCTCATAGAGGAACAAATAAAAGCTAAGAGGGGACAATGAGAAGCGAAAAAAAAGGTTCAAAAGAATAATAAAATGTTCTGAACAAGAACACGGATGAGGTCTCACTTTACAGCCAGAGATAATAGTAACAGTAGAAGGGGAATGCAAATCACATATTGGGGTAAAACGGGGGGAACAGCGAACAAAAGCGAAACATTAGGAGCAAGGAAAATGTAGCTAGACAAAGGAAATAAAGAAAATGCTAGATAATTAATCAAACACCCGACGGATGAAGAGGAATCGCTCCATGCATAAGAAGGGAACAAAAGCAGGGTATCACGGGGTATCCAAACAACCTCGCTGCTCTTTCAAGCAACTCAAAAGAAGCATCAGAATGATAGGGTTTGAATCAGCTTCTAAGATCAAAGCTCAAACCGCAAGAGTGCTTGATCGGTCCAATCTCCGCGGTCAGTCCGTTTGAGATGGAATATTGCTTTTTATCTATTGGCTAAACCGTAAATCAACGGTCATCGCCGCCGCGGGACTTGGCGCGTCTTCGGAAGAAGTCCATGACTTTGCGTGCAGCCCCCGAGCTGCCGGAATGGTGAGACCCGTCGCGCTCATATTCGTAGGCGTCCGCGAATTTGCGGTGGCTTTTCTGCAAAACACCCGGCCCACGGCCTGACCGGCCAACCTGCGTCGACTGCCTAGGCGCGCTGTCATATGGGCCATTGTAATCATCGTAGTAGTTTGGTTTAGATGAGTGATTTTGTTGATCAATGCGGTCTGCAGAGTTCTGGTAGACTTCCTCAGGCGAGGGGACTCCAAAGGAACCACTTTGGTAGTCAAATTGAGATCCCAGGTCTGCAAACTGTTGATCAATCTGGGCCTCGTAGCTAAGCGGCTCAGGTTCGGTATGAACATCTTCGCCGGGTCCCTCGTCAACTATCCCCATAGCTTCTTGCGTGCCATAGCTTGTCGCCCGAGAGCGACCCTGCGAGGGGCCGGCAGGGCCCGAGGTAGGGCGTTGCGAGACACGGGGGTCCACGGGACGAGGGATCTGCGAGGGTTCTTCGGGAGTAGGAGCCCGGGTATTAGAGAAACCGCGAAATGAGAAGGATTGCGGGAGTAATGAGAATCGACGAGGACGGTTTTCCGCGCCAGACTCGCTTGTCTTGCGGTTATGGGGGTATTGCATCGAGCGGCGGGAATCCACAGACACTCTGGAGTTTTCCCTCGGTAGAGGCTCCTTCATGCTGACAGGAGGATAACGCTTGTCTTGCTTTGTACGAGTGGCATTAGACTGCGAACGACCACCCAATATTGAACCAGAACGACCGAACAGTTTCTCGCCCAGGCTGGAAACAGTATTGGACCTCTTGTGGCCTTTTGGCGGCTCTTGTCGGGGAGTAGTGTTAAAGGTGGCAGGCAATTGCTGGTTCTGGGTGCTTGCACGACGGATAGATGTGCTCGATCCCTGTGCAGGATCCTGTGGAAGAGCAAATTGCCTGCTCTTGGGCTGTGCTAGGCGGCCTTCTGTGTTAGTTGCGGTAACAGTAGGAGCCACCGGCTGTCCATAGGAGCCGCGAGAAGGCAAACGACCAGTGTTTCCAAAGGAGCTCATAGAAGTACCAGTGGCTGGCCGATGCCCTTGCGACATCCCACTCGTCTGCGACCCCGTCATGGCTGCGTGGTCCGAGGCCGACCGCGGCAAGTGCCCTGGAAGTGGCTTGTTCAGGTTGAGTGGTGCAGTTGCAGGCTCTGTGGGTTGTTGCGCTGAAGCTGCGATATGGGCCTCAGATGGGGCCGGGACTCGGCTTCGTGATGCAGACGTTTCCACCGGAGGTTCTCCTCGGGTCGTTTGTGATTGAGGAGCAACGTATTCGACTTGGACCGTTCTCCGCTTGGCATCGCGGGGGGTTCTAGACTTTTCGGACGGCGGGTCTTGAGAAACATCTCCAGCATGATGGTTCAAGCCACCAACAGCAGGGGCGTGCTGATGTGTCTTCGGTGGTTCGCGCACTGAAGCACTACGGACAAGAGGCGGTGCTTCCTTTTGGGTTTCTATAGCCTTATGTGAGTAACTCGAACATTGACCACCCACAGAGAGCAGGTCCTTACCAGATGGGATCGTTGTATTCGCAATGTCCACAACGTTTGTCGTACTACTTGTGATATGAGACACAACATTCGAGAACTCGCTGAGCCAGCTGTGACGGGCAACCTCGAACAGGTCTGCACGTTTCCGGGGATCAGGAACCAGTATCCGTCTCAATAAATCGCGCGCATGTGGCGTGACGTATTCCGGGAATGTGAGAGGAGTAGTGACGATATATTTGTAAAGGAGATTAATGTTGTCGCCATCTGGGTTTGCTGGGTCGTCATCGAAGGGTAGATATCCCGCCAGCATGGCATACTACAACAAGTTAGTTGAGTCGGATTCTGTCTGTAAGAAAAGACTTACCAAAATTACACCACAGCTCCACACATCCACCTTCCGGCCTGTGTATAAAGAATCGCTCACGACAAGCTCGGGGGCTGCATAGCAGGGACTACCACAGCTGGTCTGCATAAGATCGCCTCGCCTTAGCCCATTTGGACCAATCTTGTCTAGTCGCTTCCGTTTGACGTATTCTTTGTTGGTCAAGTTGTACTCCATTTCCTCGTCTAAAGGATCCACCGGGTCGAAGGTGTTGGCGAATCCAAAGTCAGTAATGATGATGTTGCGATTCCGATCGAGTAGCAAGTTCTCCAACTTGAGATCACGGTGCACAATACCCTTCTTGTGCAGATAACCAACACCGGACACCAGCTGAGCAAACAGCCGGCGTGCAGAATTATCCTTGAGATATCGATTATTTAAGATGTAATCAAACAGTTCACCTCCCGACGCGTATTCCATGATGATACCAATGTGACGGTCAGTTTCCACCATCTCGTGGAGGCGCACAATGTTGGGGTGCGCCAGCTCACGCAGAATGGCGATTTCACGGTAGATTTTCGGTAATCGGCTGGGGTTGGTCCCCAGTGTGTCTCTTCGGATGAGCTTGATTGCTACCTGGAGAGTGCCATCGCGCTTCCATCCCAGCTTGACCTTTCCAAACTCTCCCTCGCCGAGGGTTTGTCCGAGAATGTACGAGCCGAAGGTGGTTTCCTTGCGTTTGACAACGTTCCCATTATTGTAATCATGCCGACTTCGAGGCCCACGAGCCTCCTCTTCGACGCTACCCGTAGAGGCATTTTCTGTGGCGGGTCGTTCTCTCTCGTCCATACCATGGTCACTAGGTAGCACAGACTTGGCCTCCGAACTTGGTTCTTTTACGCGGCCAGGGATGTCCACTTCTGAATCCGTCCTTGATTGTACTTCACGAGATGTGTCCTCAGGCTGCCTCCGTGATCTGCCATTTCGGTCATCGCGCGTGCTATCGCGCGTGCGATCACGGGTGTCTTTTCGATCGGACCTGCTCTTGCCTTGTCGAGAGCTACTCGTTTTCTCTGTAGAGGTTTCATTTTGAGTACGGCGACTGGAAGAGGTCCTCGGGGGAGGAACCGGCGGTGAACCTAGCATGTCGGGATAGGGTGCGCGCGCATTCTTCTGGGCTGGAGATGATGTGGTCGATACTGCAGAGGCATGAGCGGGGAGTGGCACGGCCTGCTGATGAGAAGTGCTCATAGCCGGAAAAAGCTGTTCGGGACCGGCCTCAGAAACGGCTGTTGGAGATTAGCAACCTATTTATCAAATGGAATGGTTTGGTGGACGGGTACGCGCTGTGAGGCAATTTGCATCACGGCCGATAGCATACCTTTGTCTAGTAGATGCGCAAAGCCTTACGAGACTTGCTGTGTGACGGTCCGAGGCAGCTTCTGCGGGCACTCGTTGACACGATTCCGGTATCAATTGCGATTGGCACAATTGGCGCGAGGGAACACAATGCCCGGCGGTGTTTGGCAAAAGTCGGGAGGTTGGGGCGACCGGTCGCACTCGCCAAATGACTCTGCAAAGCGCGCTCTGTAGACATTGGGCCATGGGTCAGCTTGAATATTTCCCCAGATGCTTATCGATAATCGCCAAAAATGTGCCTTTTCACCCAAGAATGGGGGGTGGGCAACTGACAGCAGGAGATCCGATCGGAGGAATGGGGGGGACTAGCTTACGACCAATCGCGCAAAAACCGTTAGATGATGGTTGAATATCACCGAGGACACCAGGTCGCGAGCTTGTTCAGGTGTCAAGACGCGTCGAAAAACAACAAGTTTCTCGAAAAACGAAAGGAAAGCTAAAGATACCTGCGCTGCAGTACTTCAAGAGTTCCCCTCCAGACCCACGACTTGGGGTTTGCGGTCGCACGTTGTCCAAGGAATCGAGCAAACGCGGTAACAAATGTCTCGGACGCGATTGCGGACCTGATCAACAGAACTCTGATTCAATTGCGACAACAGATGAACATTGTCGAAAATAGGATTACTGAGGGGCGCGGACAGGGGTCGCGAGGGGAGGAAAAAGACGGGAAACACCGGTCGGGGGATCCGAGTCGAAAAAGGGGGCAGAAGAGACCCCCAAAGAACAGAATCAAAGAAACAAGAAAACACAGACCAAAAAAAAAAAAAAAGGCCCAAAGGGTAGAGGGAGAGGCCGGATGAGAAGGTGAAGAAGGAAAAAAGAGGAGGTAAGATACGACTGGTAGTTTCTGTTAGTCTGGGGGAGGCGGGTCTTTGGCTCTTGAGCCTTGGATGAGGGTTTGACTGATATGATACGGGGATGTTTACATGTAAGTCTACGAGCTACTTGATATTATACTATGAATTGGACTATCTCTATCTTGTTGTATCTTGCTAAGATCTGAAATAGAGAAGCTATACTACATATACCGAGTCCGTACATAGGCCAAGGACTGTTATGATACATCAGGACAAAGACAAACTAAATCCTGTATGAAGAGTGGATAGATTAATTGCCCATATATTGATCTCGAATCCCTTGCGCCAGTAACCTGTGCCAAAAAGGGCTCGAGTCCCGAGAGATCCTCGCATGTGCCAAAGAAGGGAGAGAAGTGTATGGCGTTACAACGTCCTCTGTGGATATGCCCGAAATAATAGTAGCATGACCATTGACCGGGCGCTAAATTGCTCGGTTTCAAGCGAAAGATGCAAAAAATAATAAATAGGGGGTTGCACCGGCTGTTTCGAATCCTCATAGAGTGGACACTTGGGACGATCGTCATTATTAACCTCTCTCAGAACGGAAGCCCAGATCTCGGGTCTTTTCTCCTTCTTCATTGGTCCAGCCTAATTAGCATCTGAATTAAATCAATGTTACTACTAGATTAATTATAACTATTTTTAATAAACTCAATGTTGTTGACTTGATCAATCCCAGACTCAAAAGATCCAGAGATTAGATATAAGAATAGCGTGCAGTAGTTCACCTCCCTAGCTTGATCCTGACAATTAGCGCTCACCATAGTGGACTCTCGCTTCGGGCTTTAACGCTTTGAAGCTACGGAGGACTCCGTATGGGGGTAATACGCAGATTGAAGAGGGGCCATAGCCCGAACCCTGGAACCATCCAACCACGGTAAGCATAGCAAGAACCATGGTCGGATCCCGATCTGTTCGAATTTTATATCCAACTGCGACCTTGAAAATCATATAATCTTGGTCAAAATGGAGTGCACACCACTCGATGCGGTGCCTGGATAGTCCGGCCTGCAAGACTAAACCTTACTCTATCCACTTATCCACTGTCTCCATCAATATACGGAGTACATATCTGCATGCAGTACGGAGTAATTGATGCTCAATCCACTCAATCACCCACAGCTTTTCTACTTTTTTGACAGCCCCCGGATCACCAATACTCCAGACGTAAATGTCAAGCGTTTGTGACTTGATACTCATGTGAGTGCTGATCGCCCTCATTGGACAAAGCCACCACGGTGGGCCGTGGACAACTGTCAATCGATGCGCTGGCAGTTTTTGCCTCTACAACGTTGTATATCATCATCCAATCAATATCCGATAGATCGTCCAGCGGCAGCTGGCAACGCATATGAGCAACCCTGTCTAATGGCTACCATCGCCCTCGCCATAAGCCCGAAAATGCAAAACAATGCAAAAACGGGTCGGAAATAAGAATTGAATATCTTTTTTTTGGCCAAATTCTAGTTATAGGAGTGACTTGGCTTTGTTGGTTGTTTATAGAGTAAACCGCGTACCTGGTTTGCCGTTTTGGGTTGTTGGGAGTCATTTCTCGAATAATCATTTACTCTCTAATTTCGAAATTCATTTTAATGGATATCTGTACGAAGACAGACAGCACAATTTACATATGCCTCGTCTACCCTGACATCCAAACGGTCGCATCTCAGCAGCAGAGATCCAAGCTCATGGCTGTTGGATCTTCCAGAACACCCGAAGGCATCCTGGAAGACCCAGGTCGCAGAAAGACCGGAAGTCACTCATATAGGAATCAAACGAAAAATTCACATATTTTCGAAGGTCAGATTCGACATGTATTGTTATCACCTAAGCGAAATGAAACCTAACCCATACGTCCATCCTACTCTAACATACCAGTATCAAGACAAACCGAAACCAGTCACTCCGTCAGGAAGGAGGATACCCAGAGAACGCTGTCAGAACAAAGACAAAACAGAAGCTAGCCACAGGAAGCCTAGAGAACGCTGTCAGGAGCAAGGCAAGGCCACAGCCAGCCATACCGTCAAGAGCGCGAAATATCTCCATCACTCCTGGAGAAAAGGACTGAAATCATTCTCGAAAGACACATTCTGTAGCTTTGAGGGCGACGGTGGCGCCTTGGTGGCTGGACGGAAAGGTATATTCTCGTGGAGCATAGCTTCTTTCTAGATAGAGGATCAAGAGCCTGAACGGACGGAAAAGCCACCATCAGACTCATAAGCACCATCTCCGTCCTCGTCTCTGCCCCGCATACAAGCAATGCGAGCCAAATGCCACCTCAGTTCCAAAAGTTCCATGGAGGGCAGTGGCCGTTCATACTTATTGTCCGTCTTGACCGTGAAGACATATCCCGAGGGGATTCTAACTCCGTCTCTATATGGAAAATGAAGTTATTGTTCCCAGGGGTCTCGCGAGGTCGGTACTTTGGATCCTGGTATGGGTTCTCCATAACCGAGACCATCTCACCCCGATAAGTATTTTCCAACCCCGGGAGGCTCTCTTTAAGAGGCAGCCAATGAAACGCGATTTGCATTTCTGTTTGGTCTTCACTGACCCAAACAGGGCGAAGTGCACACATCGCACGATCCCAATATTCCTGCACCTGGATATCCAGAGTGATCTGGTTATGAAGTCGCTCCGTGTCCATTATGCCCTCAGACACCAAGAGGCTCTGCAACCTGTCGACTTTCTCATCGCCCCAGAAAGCGCTAAGCCAGTCCCAGCACTCATATTGCGTGAGATACAGACTCCGAGCACCGTTGAGCTTCTTCGGTATGATATGGGCACTCTCAATCAATGGTAGTCCGCGCTTTGTCACTACGCAATGATAACCATCACGATTAGCACTCTCGGATGGGAGCTAGAAGGCCATATTAGCACTACTTCCTCTTTGTGATTTCTGATAAACTCACATCCACCGTGTTCTCGTGCTCTGGCGTAGATGGCTTGCTAAAGGAGCCAGTGTTGGGCGAGCTGGATCGACCGCGTTCACTAAGACCTAGCCGAGGCGCAGAACCTTGAGGTTCTTCTCGGCTGGCTGCAGTTTTCTGCCCCTCACAAGCCCCTGAAGAATAGTTAGTTTAATATTGTAGATATAACTTGTAGATCCACTCAACAAATACCAACAACATCGTACTGGTTGGGGAGCAACCTCAGGTCTCTTGCGCGGAGCTTTTTCGCGATTTTGGTTTGCGCATTAGCCTTCTCCTGCAGAGCACTAATATCACTGAACCATAAGGCATAGAGATTCTGCTGCGGGATCATGGCCAATCCTGGGTCATCCTGAACGATCTGCTGGATGAGGCTATGACGAGTGGGGTCTTCAAACTCCGAAAAGATATGCAGAGGATCTGGCTGACCATCTTCAATACGTGATTCCATGATAAAAGGATGTCAGATGGAGAGCGATGATGAGAGGAAAGAAACAGAAAGTGGAAAGCCCCGACTTTACTGTTGTATACTCTCTAGGTAGGCACCTTGTGGGGCCGCTACTATATTGGGGCGCGTCCCATTTCTAGCCAATAGAATTGAAGGTATATATTACGTAAGGCAACAGCAAACGTCCTGAATAACTACATGAGGGCAAGGTTAAAAAGGACAACGCGCTATATCTTCTTTGGTGTCTTTTTTGGTGTCTTTTTTGGTGTCTTATTTGTGTCTCTTGTTGTCTTATTTGTGTCTCTTGTTGTGTCTTGGGGTATTAGCCCGGTCTTGTTAATAATCTATCACTGGGAGGGGACGCTCTTCAATCAAGGCAAATCGAAGCTCATCCAGTATTAAATACATCTCTTGATCTCCTAGTTTGAGGGCATGGTAAAACTTTCTATAACCTTCTTGCAACTTGTTTTCATCCAGAATATCCGTACCGTCAACATACTCCAACATATAGCTCAGAATAGCTAGCCAATAAGTCTCATAAGAAGAGTCGTAGTCACGGCAAAGTAAGAGAATCAGGGCCTTACAATATCTCACAGTAGAAGGGATTTTCACGGTACAAGGACACGATAAGAAGCGTCCTCGGCCACGACCTGGAGATGCCGACGGGAGTCGATCGTCCGACGCAATCATAATATCTGGATTTTTCTCCAAGTCAAACTCCCATAGTACATCAGATTTCCGATAGAGCGAGACCACAACCTCATCATTAATATGCAGGTGCTTAAATTCCGGTGGCACTCGGTTTGTATTTAAGTACGGACAGCCTAAGCTGTTACAGGGTAAAAACCCAGCACTCTCAAGTGAAGAGAATGCGACCTGAGTAAGACCATCCGGAATAACAAAAGCTGCTTCCTATTGGAATATTAGTAGATTAATCCGGTCAATCGAGATAAAATACTGACATCCACAATCGTAGGAACTCCATAAACAGTAAGTAGATAGTTGACCCCAAAGAAGGTTTGGGATACCTATTGAGTCTAGAAAACTAGAAATAGACGAGATAAGATCATTGTCCAATTTTTGTTCCGTGAAGTAAAAACCAGCCATCGTCGCTATGAAGGCTAGAGGAGGAGGAAGAGGAGTTTGGATTTGTTTTTTCACTTTTTTTCTTAAAGGATGGTGACATGGATCACAACTCAACATGACACGTGACGAGGGTTTGGCCAGGAAACGATAATACAAAATATTCCCCGCGATGGATCCGCCACATTCAGTAAGTGAAAAGAAGCGATAATCCACAAGAAAAGCTGATTATAACCATGCATCTACAGGATCCGATCAACTGAAAGAGAAAGGTAATTGGTAGCTAAATATAGGCCTGGGCGTGAGGTCGGTGGAAGATTTGGTGAGGAGTTTGCCCGAAGTTGTGAATAATGCCGATGGTGGCTAACCGTTGCATTGGGTCATAAATAGCATCTAAGTCTTTAGCACCTTTGTATGAGAGATGGTGGAAGACGTTGACAGACTCGACAGCTGCCTCGCCCTTTTGTTTGCTGCCGAAAACAAGATCAATCCAGTGATGGCTGCGGAGCGGCAAGGTCTGAGCACTAAAACGGAAGGGGAAAGCCAAGAATGAGAGGAAATCAAGTACATAGGTATCAAAAAGTGTAGAATAGGAAAATCAAGAAGCTGCCAGCCTCAATCCTCAATCAAGAGCTTGCAAAAGAGAAATCATGTCCGTCATACCAAATCACAAAAATTAAAAAACCCAAACATCTCCTATACGAGATCTCGCTCCTCCAAGCACTGTAACTAGCGCCAGCCCCCAGATTTTACCGCTTACCCCCTGACGTGGACCCCCCCTTGAGGGACCTTGTTCCCGACGCACCATATGCAGGAGGCGGTGTGGGGGTAGGTGACGCACGCCGCACAACAGGGTCCCGGGCGCTCAAGTTAGAAGGGCCCGAAGCAGACTGCACGGCGTTAGCCGGTACCTGGCCGCCGTCACCACCGCCGACGACAACCTGTTGACCATCGCGCATTTTTCCAACGACCATGCCTTTGGCAACAGACTTCAATAGCGCGCGGCGACTGACACCGGTGGCGTCAATGTAAACCAATCCAACGTTCTTGATTCCGCCCGTCAGGTGGGTTGCCACGGCGCCTGCCTCATTTCCGTAACGGTGTTCGATCATGGAGCTGGCGGCGCCAGCACCGGAGAATAGCATGTTTCGGGCACTCTGCTCGATGCCGTCGGCCAGGGTTGTAAATGCGATCATTGATTTGTTCAACACACCGGGCTTGTATTCTGGTGGTGGATTGCGCCTGTCGAAGCCTTTATTCCGGCCAGATTCTTGCTTGCGTGCCAGTGACGCGCCTATGTTCTGTGCAACTCTTCCGACCTGTCCGACTGTGCGAGCAGAAATATCTGCTGCTCCGTTGGATAAATTGCCGACCTTGCGAATGCGCGCGTGGGTAGCGTCTGAGAATTTCAAAGGCTTGGGGTTCGGCTGTGTCTTCTTTTGGAAATTCTCCGCGCCACTCGCAATAGCACTTGCCAGATATGTTGATCCAGTCACTATCAGACGAGATGCTGTAGCCGAACTCTGAACGAGTGTCGAGTTCTTATATGCCGGGTGCCGGGCCAATGACAGGTATTCTTCGGAGACATTGCTGACGCTGACCTGATTACCTCCGCCTTCTGCAGGAAGTTCAATTCCTACCGGTCCTGTTCGATATTAGTCAGTTGCTGATTGACAGGTGACCATGATTCAACACTTACTCTTAGAGCCAGGCTTCACGTCGGCATCCTCGACTACATTGTAGCCGTCTCCTAGCTCTCCCACCACACTGCCGTTTTCTTCGTCCACAAGCACAATTCTTCCATGTGCATCTCCTTGCTTTGTATCGGGTGTCCCAACGTAGCCCTCGCCGGGTGCGTAGTCAGCGGGGTTGTAAGCAGTATAGTCCTGAGCCTTCGGGTAAGGGGTGCGCTCGAGGAATGCAGTGCACTGCGCAAGGATAGATTCAAAGGTATCAATATCATCCTGAGACACGTTGCCAGGGCCAGTTCCAATGCTAGGGAACTGGATGCGAATGAAAGCGCCAGCTTCGGGACCCATGTCCCAGCGGGGAATCAGATAACTGTCGGGAGCTTGGTGGAAGATCTGAGTGGTCGCTGGGATCGCAATATCGAGCTCAGGTGGGATATACAGGTGAAGATAGAAATCCTCTTCCGGTGAATCTTCAGGCCAATCTGTCCCAGGGCCAGCAGTGGCAGTGTTGGTGGGGACCATTAGCAATGATAGGGTTTGAGCGCCGGACGGCGTGAGGTCCTGCTCTTCGCCATCTTGGATGTGGAAAGCACGGATATTATTGACGCTGTATAGCAGTCTGGGATCGTGTGCTGCGCTCGCCATCGTGTTGGTCGCTATCTTGTGTCTTTCAATATTGCCCGCAATATTAAGGTGTTGATAACGCGGTTATGACGTCGTGTGACAATAGTTGATAAGCTGATAGAAAGAAGCTCAGGAACACCTCTAAGGACAACCTCGGAACAAAGAAATCAGGAACGTTGAAATAGGGGAAGGAAGGAGATAAATATATTTTCTTGGCCAAGAGCCAAGGAGGGGTTCCTATGAGATCATCCATGTCTGGGCGCTTAGACAACTGAGGGAAGGAGGCTGTGTTACGCCACACTATGTATATCCGCACCGCCACATGTAACTTAGCCACACTTGGCGGGTCTTTTGGCATTGCATCTGGTTGGTTGGTGACTATCGCCCCCCCAGACATTCATCCATAACATCAGCAAAACTTGCCTCATTCGGTGTACGGCCAGATGTCCACGTTTCAGATATTGTCGGATTTACATTTAGAAAATCCGTCTGCCTACTATGTGTTTAATATCTCCCCGAAGGCGCCACATCTTGCCCTCCTGGGTGACATAGGAGTTGTCAATGACGCAGGCTTCATTACATTCATCGAGACCCAGTTGCGCCAATTCCAAATCGTTTTCTTTCTGTTGGGGAACCATGAGCCCTACGATTCAACCTGGGAGGAGACGAAGCAACTCCTTCATCAATTCTCGGCGTCTGTTGATCGTCGGCGTTCAACAGAATAAGATGGAGATTCGGAAACTATGGGTTCTTTCATCTTCTTGGATCAGACTCGCTACGATCTCTCACCAGAAGTGACTGTCTTAGGGTGCACACTCTTTTCGCGAGTGAGCGAGGCCCATAAGGAGCACGTCAGCTATGGTCTCAATGACTTTTACAACATAAAGGACTGGACGGTTGACGACCACACAGCTGCTCATGAAGCAGACTTGGGGTGGTTAAATGGACAGGTTTCTCATATCGCTAGTTCTGAGCCGCATCGCAAGATCGTGGTTTTTACACATCATAGCCCAGTCACTCAGGATCCCCGGGCGGTTGATCCAAGGCATGTAAATAGCTCGCTGTCGTCGGGCTTTGCCAGCGATCTCTCTGGACAGGAGGTCTGGAAGAGTCCGCTCGTAAAATTATGGGCATTTGGGCATACTCACTTCAATGTCAGTTACATTGAGGAGGGTACCAAGAAGATGGTGGTCAGTAATCAGCGCGGTTATTACTTTTCTCAGGCACCTGGATTTGATGGGGAGCTAGTAGTTGGAGTCTGATACCACATATCACAACCAATTTGCTCTTTATGGAGTGAGGTACAATATCATCAATTGAATGACAACACTCTGCTCACACATATTATATATGGAAAAGTCGGTCAAAGGTAATAGCCGTCTCAGGAACAAGTGCAGCAGATATGCTCTAGATATTAAAAACCGAGACAGACCAAAATAAAAGAAATGAACGAGCGGCAGTTCAGAAATTATAGTAAGTCATTTCTCGCATCTTCATTATTTCCTCGGAATTATCTTCTTCGTTGCTCTTGTAAGATTGTCCCCAATAGACGCTATAAAGTATCTTCTCTTTCATTTCTAAATTTGATTTTATTAAAAGGTTAGGGGTTGAATATGTACAATTTATATTTGGAGTAAGTCCACCAATCACCCAAATTCAAGCAAGTCATATAACGAGACATATATAGAAATTAAAGCTTAGAAAAACGTAAAATAATCAAGGTCATAATCATACTCTAGGCAAAATGGAGGTGGCGCTCGCCTGATCGCACCGGCTTTGCGAGCAAAAAATGAAACGGACAAAAATAGATGGACGGGCGGCGGATTGAACGCCGGACTTTTCGCATGCAAAGCGAACACTCTACCACTGAGTTACGCGCCCAAGTGAAGTGGAATAATTGTATGTTTCAGGGTACATATAGTAACAAAGCAGAGGTTGCTTTTGGGGTGGAAGTGAAAGTTCGATGTGGACGAGGTTTGGTTTGTTGGATTGCACAATGAGAATAGATGTAAAAGGCCATCTGGATTATTTATCAGATGCTATCAGTCCTATTGTAGTCGGTTAACTAGCAAGAAAATATCTGATGGATACCATAACTATCGCAAGAGATCTATCCAGGTACTCAGTATATATATGTAGGGAAGTAGCTCGGTCTTGATAGACGAGTAGAAACCGCAGCATGTAACAGATTGGACATGTCTTGATACATATTGATAGGTTTTTTTTTGAATAGACGAATGGGTATTAATAACCTTCCAAGGTTCCAAGATTAAAACTCAATGCAAGACATTCAAACCTTCGGCTCTGATGAGAGGTCCTGACTACGAGGGAATGGAGTGATCAGCCAGAGGCAGAAAGATGAAGATTGATGGAAGATGGGAAACTAGCTACTGTACTGAAGCTTGTCTATATAGCTTCACACCACAAAGCCAGCCAGAATCCATCCACCAGAACACAGAAGAAGCATCTCTGCAGACATACAAAGAAAACGCCGACGCGGCAAGCTGTCTGCCAGAGAGGAGAAAGAGAAAGGGAAGGAATGCCACACAGAAAGGTCTACAAACTGCATAGGGCAACAGTGAGCACGTCAGAATGCATCAGGTTCGGGGTCAGCTAGGTAGCATTCCTAACAAATGATTCCCAGTTTCCTAAGATCCTGGAAATTGACGTTGGGCCGAGTGTACTCCGCCTCAAAAAGGTCATGATTCGTCCCGTATCCGTCTTTGGGGCTGCGTGTATCTGTTCCATCCAAGGGATTTTCTCCAGAGCTATAAATAAAGCTTGCTACCTCGTTTGAAAGTTTGATGAACCTCCCCGGCCATATGCGATGGCCTTTCATCGCGATTGTGACGGTCGGTTTGGACGGTTGATCTCTCTCAATCCAATCTAGTCCCTCTCGCATCCTCTCTAGTAGACCAGTTAAACACAATTCATCAAAGGGGAACTCGATAAATTCTAAGTCAAGAGATTGTAATGAGGATGGTGCCAATTTGAGTATATCTATCAACTCCGATGTATTAACGCTGAAACGAGAGAGCGCTAAATGAGATAGATTCGGCCACTCCTTAATAGGCAGAACCTCCTTTAGGGGAATAGGTAGATTCCTTATTGTCAAGAATGGGATATGGCCCCTCTAGGCCCTAAATAAGAACCTTGGTTTTTGTTATGGTCTAGTGGTAAATTACGCTGTACGAAATTCAATACTTATTAAAGAATGAGATCTATCATTGAATGTAGTTGATAAATGGATATAGGTTAATTCCTTAGCTAGGCTCATAGCTTGATAGAATAATCCGCTTTGGAATCCTACCCAGTTACTACTAGTGAGTAAAGATAGATAAAGATACCAGAAGCCTAGACGTTTTATGATAGCCGTAAATTGATTGTATTCCTTATAGGGCCGGTCGAAAATCCAAAAGTTTAGTCTGGTATAGAGTTGCTTAGAGTTGAAGCTTAGCTCGGAAATATTATACTTAGCTTATAATAAAAGGCGAAGAATAATTTGAGCCCCTCTCTATAGCTCCTTATAGTCCTCGGTTGCCTCTGACCATAGTAGCGGCTCGATAACCTGATAATTAACGGGATCATAGTACTATCCTCGCGGAATCGGATAGTTGAATCTATATGGAAATGCTTGGATTATAGGTATCTTATATAGCGGAGTAAACAGCTAGCTGTGAGCCATAGGCGTAACGGTCACTCTCTTAAGCTATAGGAATCGCTCTAGGCTATAAAGAAAGGCTTTTTTATTATCTTTGGATCCGATTATAGATATCTGATCATCCTATAGTTAGCGATAATACTTCTAGTAGGCTTTTAACGGTATTTAGGTATCTATCTGGTACTAATATATAATATGGTTAGGTCGGTCTACGTTATAGTATTTCTGATACTTCATCCTATAGCGGTTCTCTTTGTATTCCTCTATAAACTAGATAGGATATCCCTTAGTCGAGTTGATTTCTATGCATTCGGGGTCGATACTTAGGTATACAGTTTCCTATATTAACGGCGCGAGTATAAACCGTGCGTTATCCCAGATAATCTCCCTGATTTCGTGGCGAAACTTTAGATAGTCTACTATAGCCCGAAAAACTTGGATATTTAACGAATTGGCCGAAAGAAACACACGTGAGGAGGAGAATGGTGAAATCTCGCCGAGGGCTTTATACGTTAAGCGCAAGGACTTGACATCTTTATTTGGCAGAAAGGACACAATGGATGGAACTATTTCAGGGGGGAAACGCAGAAACCATGGGCTTTGTGTTGCCATCCCGGACGAGGGGACTGGTGAAGCCCCTGGAGGTATGTCGAGAAACTCAGCTGAAATAGGGAGGTACAGGGGGAAGGATGCCGTGCGATCCAAAATTACGGTATCATTTCGCGGCTGGGCATGACGGGAGAGAAAAGAGTACAGTCAGTCAAAGAGAGGAGGATGATCGAGCGACGCACTGGAAGTTATATACCTAGTGTAAAGGGTGAGGCTGGCAGGCGGTCGGAGATGGCAGATGCCAGTTTGAGGATAGTCCGGGGCGCCAAACCGAATTGGGATGGACCAAACCCAAACGGGGGGGACGCCAAACTCGATCGAGGGGGCGGCTGAATCCGGCCGCGTCGGCACATACTGTACATATGGTATTTGTCCCGATATCGATGTATTGATTGATTAATGTCGAGCATGGAGATACCTGGATGCCGAAGGCAATGAGCGGGGTTGTAGGATTTAAGTTTGCGCTTGCCCGTTATAGGAAAGGATCCACAAACCTACCGAGCCAATTGTATTGAATGCAAACAATGCAAACAATAGCCTGGATTCGAAATTTTGACTGAATGTTCCTCCGATAGCGATTGCGAAGTTTAGTGAACAGTTCGCTTTTCCCTCTAAATACAATGGAGCCAGAGACCATACAGGCCCAAGCCCCAGTGGCCAATGTTGCTACGCCTGACAGTGAGATTCCGAAGCGCGACGCCGCAAATGATCCTGGCGCAGCGGATGTGGAAGAGCCTCCAGCCAAGAAGGCACGATTGGATGAACCTTCAAAACCCGCCCAGGTAGATATGCGCGACAGAGGAATTGCACCTATCAAAGCAGAGTACGTCCAGCTACCCCTCAATGATTATGAAGTACTAACTTTCATCAATCAGGTATCGCATTCATATCACACCTAAGCCTCGCCCTGCCGATGAAACTAACCCTGACGATGCCGCCGAGGGCGCTGCCCATGATGATCGTGATGGTGGCAAGAAGGACAAGGGAAAGAAGAAGAAGAAGGGCCAGAACACCAATCGCACCTACGGTACATCTAAAGATGCGAAGGGCCTGTGCAGCACGAGAATGTTCGCCAACGAATTTGCCGCTGGAGAGTGCCAATATGGCGAGAAATGCCGATTTGAGCACGATTTGCGTGTTTATCTGAAAGAACATAAACGCGAGGATCTCACAACCTTGAACAACATGTGTCCCGTCTACGAAGCGCTAGGGAAATGCTCTTCCGGCTGGAAATGTCGCATGGTTGGCTCACACTCAACGGAACGCGAGACTGAAGACGGCAAGAAAGAATTGATCTTGCTGGAGGACGCAGAACGTATGGAGAAAGCTCGGCCTCGTGTGGCCCGCGCCACACCTGAGGGAATTGTCAACATCATTTCCAATCAAGACAAAATGGCACTTACGAGAAAGCGCGAGGACACCCCCCGGGCTGATGCCTACACCACATGGTCCGTTCAGGTGTCTGCAGAATTGGAGAAGGCGATCCACCAGCGATCGACCATCCGCGAGAAGGGTGAGCTTGTTGAACCGGACGAGCAGGCGAAGATCGACCTGCAGGAGAACCGTGCTCAGTTCCTTGAGCCTCCCTTCATGCCGTCAGAGAAGCGTCGCATTTACTTTGGACCGGAGACACCTGTTTTGGCACCTCTCACAACCCAAGGCAATATGCCATTCCGAAGACTCTGTACAGACCTGGGCGCGCAGTTTACATACTCAGAGATGGCTATGAGTATGCCTTTGATTCAAGGCTCAAAGTCCGAATGGACCCTGTTGAAGGCGCACGAGTCGGAAATGACACCGCCAACCGTCATCCCAGGCGACAATGTTGTTCAGGGCTATGATAACTCCAAGGATTTCAAGTTCGGCGCACAAATTGCCGCTAACAAGCCATGGCAAGCTCTCAAGGCTACCGAGGTGTTGTCGAAGTTTACACCCAACCTGCGTGTTATTGACTTGAACTGCGGCTGCCCCATTGAGCTTGTCTTCCGTGATGGAGCTGGCTCAGCTCTTCTTGATCATCACTCCAAATTAGAGAAGATGATTCGCGGTATGAACACTGTCTCGCTGGAGATTCCGATTACCGTCAAGATTCGCATGGGAACCAAGGATAACCAGCCTACCGCCCAGAAGCTGGTTGAGCGTATGGTTCTTGGTGGATATGAGTCTAGTGTTCTGGACCTGGGCCCCCCGGGCGCCGCAGCCATCACCCTGCACGGACGTAGTAGACAGCAGCGCTACACTCGACAGGCAGACTGGGGATACATCTCAGACTGTGCAGCCCTCATCAAGCGCCTGAACAAGAAGCAGGATGCACTAACCGACACCATTCGTGAACCGGATGCCCGCTACATGCCCAATGGCGGCAAGACTTATTTCGTTGGAAACGGCGACTGCTACTCGCATACCGACTACGATGACCACGTCAACAATGCTGGTGTGGACTCTGTGATGGTGGCTCGTGGAGCTTTGATCAAGCCATGGATATTTGAGGAAATTCAAACCGGCCAGTATTTGGATAAGTCCGCGACTGAGCGTCTGGCCTATATTGAAAAGTTCGCCAAGTACGGTCTTCAGGCCTGGGGTTCTGATGAGCATGGTGTTGGAACAACCCGCCGCTTCATGCTAGAGTGGCTCAGCTTTGCCTATCGCTATGTCCCAATTGGACTGTTGGAGCACCTCCCTCCTAACATTCAGGACAGACCTCCTGCTTGGCGCGGCCGCAATGAGTTGGAGACGCTAATGGGCAGTGGCAACTACAAAGACTGGATCAAGATCACGTAAGTTTTCTTTCATTAACCTTTTTGACTCATTAACTAATCATTCATTGATACTACAGTGAAATGTTCCTGGGTCCTGCACCCGACACTTTCAAGTTCGAGCCCAAGCACAAGTCGAACTCTTACGAGGCTGAGGGCTAAATTAAAGGCCTATCAATCTGGCATATCCTAAAACTGCACATAGAACCATCCCGAATGCACTGTCTGGATACTTAAACAAGGCGCTCGGTTCTTTCACGCGTTAGAAGAAGGTCTTGATGAATTATGTCCGCCGCATTAAAGACATACATAGTACACTCAACGGAAAGCAATAGCGAGGAATCCATGAATTGCGTCCATCGCAATAAGTAGTATGACTTGCATAGAAACATCCCAGAAAGCCTAATCAACCGTCAAGAGTTGCTCGTAGAAACCACCATACCCGCGTGCCTTATCATGAAGATGAATTTCCAGAATCCAATGACGCTTGAACCCATCACGGCCCGACAGACCCATTGACTCATTATTGCCCTTGGCGATATACAGGGAGATTCTGTCCCGCGGAATGCGTTCATGCGGGAACGACCCAACGAGATGGCCCGCAATATCCGCGCCGAAATCCCAGCCGTCTTGTTTCGCAACCTGGCAAGAGATATTGTATAGCTCGTCGCCGGACATATCTGGGTTCTCGCGATATTTTGCCTTGACTGTGTTCCAGATGGGCTCCAGGGCGTCCCGCAGCTTCTTCTTGTTTGGATCATCTCCTAGGACGAAGGTGCGCCCAAAGTCGGCTTCCCAGGCTTCGAAGACCGGCCCCAGGTCAACAACTAGGATATCATCCGGCTGGATGACACGATCCGGAGGGTTATCGTTGAACGGGCTTAGGGTGTTTGGTCCGCTGCGGATGACTCGTTTGTGCCAATGGGTCTTGATACCATAGCGATCGAGTCCTAGTTGGTAGATTTCGGCATTTAGGGTCTTTTCGGTGATTCCTGGTCGGACCAAATCGCGTTCGATCTCCTCGAAGAGCGCGACTGCTTTTTCTTGTGCACTTAGAAGCTGGGATGCTCTTTCGATCTCTTCGGGGCTCAGATTGTTATGCGCCATGGTTTTGAGAGGGGATGCAAAAACAGTCGATGTGGAGGGGAGTCCGCAATCTGTGTATGTAATTAACTGTTCCTTCCAGGGTTCTCGATTGCTGACAGCTACCCATGCAATAGCCGAAATTTCCCCACTTGGGGAATCTTTTCCCGGTGACTATCGCTCTATTCAATTTGGCCGAGAAATATGTATCTACTTGCATTCTGAGGTTCAACTAGTAACTATTAGTTGCATACAGCTACGTCCTATTAAAATCGACCCCGTTAATGTGCAAACCTCCATAAGTCAAACGAATCTATCCCATCCATAGTTAGTTAACTAGTTAGTTAACTAGTTAACTACTCCGGATTAATTGCTTAGATAATACCATAGTTAAGCCTTGGAAGCTCCCGAGTCTGGAGAAGTCTCCCTAATTAGGCCTAGTCCCAACTTATACTCGCTAATTCTGCTAATTCTATTGGCTTGATTCTATATACCGCCTTTTAGAATTCTGCCGGTCTAAGTATGATTACATAATGCAAAATGAAGCCTTACGTAACCAACAATGCCAAGACTTAGTTACAAGGCTTGTAGCTTCTTCGACTGTACAATGTAGATCCCGCTGTCATGACGACATATACTAAACTTCAGTGTTATACATAGCATTATGATTGAACTTATTGGTAGAAAATAGAGCATTCCAATCAAACTAAGGCACTATACACGCAAGCCAACGCGTTCCAGGAACGAGCGAAGTCAATAAATCTTAGAATCCTGCTTAGGGTTGGTGACAGCATCACGTGCAGAGCCTCCGAGGCCATGACGTCTTCCTCGAACCTGAAAAACTTCCCCATAAGACCACCTCGTCTCTTAATCCTCCCGAGCTTCAATTGCTTCCCCTCTTTGGTCCAAAGAATCTCTATTGCTTTAGTCTTTCTGTGTTTGTTGCTTGTTTACTACAGAATTGCTGCTTCTCGCATTTGTTTACCTTCACCCCTAAGCTGTCTTTCTGAAGCTCTCAACACCCCGCCCCTTCGATTAATCCAGAAACTCGATTTTATAAGTGTCGCTGATTGACAACACACAGCACAATGACTCTCTACTACTCCCTTGTAAGCCTGACAAGTTCCTTCTCTAGTTGCTTCTTGTTGTGTTTCTCAAGAAGTTCTCGAGAATCGTTGCAGCCTGATGCCCGAAACTGTCTACCCAGCCCAAGCGTCTCCACCCTATCGATGAACTAACACAATGCCCTCATATAGGTATTCCTCCTTCTGGTGTTCGAGATGGGTGTATTCCTGGCCCTCGTCATCCCTCTCCCTCATGTCGTTAAGCGCAAGCTGTTTGCCTTCATCTCGGAGAGCCCGATCATAGCCAAATTACAATATGGACTGAAGGTATATTGCCAATTTGAAACCACGTTTCCGGTTACACTGCTAAACTGGCCTCCAGATTACATTCATCTTCATCCTCATTCTGTTCATCGACTCCGTGAACCGT